CATTTAGTATATCTGCAATAAATAGAGCACACGGAGCTTGAATGAGAGCCAATCGATATATAATCGCGGTCATCCGCGGGAATGAGAGAATATATTATCGACTGTACAAATAAATAAAAGGACAGTATTATTATCAACCAGGCTCGGAACTTTATCCACAAAAAAAAAAAACAATAAAACATGTTCAATGTGCATAATACATGTACACTGAAAGTCTTAAATATGTATTTTTTTTTTACCAAAATATATGCATTAATATGAGAAAAAACTCAAAAAATATTCATGTTAATAATACTCAAAAACTGTAATAGCTAGTATGCCAAAAAATAGAGTGTGTTCTTTTATATTGTTAAATATTAAAAATATTAATATTATTAAAACGGAATATTTTATTTTTAATTATACTTAAAATATTTGTATACACCTATTAAATATATAAATTATCCACGGTAAAAAATAATTATTAAATATGCGTATTCAAAATATATAAAGATGGTGGTGCGTGAAAGTTTTTTATTTTTAAATTAGATATATTTTATATTGGACATTTTTTTTTTGTTGATTTACTAATAAATTATGTTTTAGTATGTAGAATCTTATTAAATATATGCAAAATTACTTAATTTTTGGTAAAATATGCAAAAATATGCAAAATACCAACATTTTTGAATTCGAGTTGTATGTATTTTCAAATTAATTTGTGTCGAATCAGATTTTGAATATTATTATGTGGCTTTTTTTAAAAATATTATGCAAATCCATCTGGTTGCTAGTGCTGATTATAATATACGTAATATGCGTTTATAGTGTGCGTTGCCACTAATTTCGAGGCTGATGTAGTTAGGCACGTACAGGGTACATCATAATAAACGACAGACGAAAAACACAATCTCACCATCGACGAGATCGTTCGTGATTCGTTCGTGAAGGAATCGTGGGAGTCGAACTCGTGTTATCATAATTTTATCATATAGTAACAATTATTGTATTGCACGTTATTATTATTATTATAATAATCCCCCCTGAATATGGCGGAAAACAGAGCAAAACACACGACTTACATGAGCCATTTTACAATATGCGTAATATAATATAATATAATAATATCATTACTGTAGTTGTGTGTGCCTACTGCATAATATAATATATTATAATATCCACGTCGGCGGGGACAATTTTAACTGCCTACTACTAACTCTATGGGTACCACGACGAAAAACACATTAAAATAATGCCAAGTAAATAATATAAACAAATATAAACACACACGCACACTTATATATACAGCATGAGTGTTTATATGCAATTAAACGTGAATCGTTTAGTCCCCGACCAGTTTTCAATGTGAACCGTCTGTATATAATATAATAATATATGTTATGTATATGATGCTCAATATTATATTATTACATAGGTATAATGCGCGAGTGCGTTTTTTAATAGTACCGAACAATAGGCTATACTCCTGGAAAACGCGCTACACTTTATTACCCAATAAAAATGAGTATGAATATATATATATATTACATATAAAAAAACATGTTTAGCATTTTTCATTAAAACTTTTTCCGTTTGAATTTACGTTCTAAGATTTTACGACTTTTAACCCGATATAATAATAAAATACCTATGTTTTAGTAATAATTAGAGTGACGATTTTTTTCTTCCAATAATAATGGCCGTACTATAATATAATATTATATAATATTATTATGATAATATAGTATGCTGCGATATCATTGGTCCGGCAACATAATATATATTATTATTATTATAAAACGAACCGTGTCACGTGATGTTATTTTTCGTTTTCCCGGCCGTCATTTTGCTTACCTACCAAGTTCATTTTGTATTTATGAACCATCATCATATATACATAATGATACAAACACGGTATACAATATTATGCTTAATTTCGAACTTAAAAACCGCTGAAATGAGAAGAAAAAAAAAATAAAACAATATTGCGGTGTAACACAATGGTTCGATTTACATGTGGATAAAAAACCATCACAATCTGTTCAGTTTCAAAAAATAAGAGGTTTACATGAATACGTGCGTTAATCCGATTAATAGGTCTTTATATATAATATAATATTATACAAACCTTTTCTTTTTCTTGAAAATAATCATTACTACGAATAATATGGGGAAAATTGTTTACCTACGCATCAGTACCTTTCAATCTTTCTTATAGCTCTTGTACACAGCTGTATACTTTAAGCCGATTCGAATCTCTTTCTATATGCGCACTTTAATCAATACTGTTTGGGGAGCCTCGCTCCTCCTCGGCTTCCCCCTCCCCATCGCCGCCGCCATCTTCGCCCATTAGAGCGATTTAATTGCCTCTGACGGTGGGTTATTTATTTATATAAAACATTCGGCAGAGGAGTAGAGTACAGCGCGGAGGAATATTTACATATATTTCCCGTGCATCACAAGATATAAATATTATGCCGTAATAGTTTTAAAAAGTTAAATTAAACTGCACGAGTGTTCCTTAAGTCGTTCGTTAGTTTCGCAGAAAGTTTACAATAATCCTTTTATATAAATTGAAAGAATAAAAAGTTTGTGTCGTATACCGGGTTAGAATAAAGCTAGGTGAGCTTGTAGAGTAACTCATTACCTATTGCATTATTTTTACGGGGCAGGCATTTGTTTTAGATTTTTGGTCGAGGTAAAAACACAAAAAAAAAAATAATAATAAATATGTACGTAACAGAAACAAAAAAAAAAATCGCAATATTTTGTTCGGTCACATTGATATTTTATAGGTGCAATTTACATCGTCGTGTCACATCGTCCGTCCGGGGAGGATAAACTATATTATATACATATATAGATATACGACATTGCCGTTGCAGTGGGTATAATAAACGGTCGACCGGTACGTCATCAATTACGAGCGGTCTGATATTAATTCTTAACCTTGTGTTTTCCAAATAAGAATAATGTACGTCTGGGGTGAAGTATTTTTTATTTTTTATTTTTTTAAGGGTGACGGCTATGTGCGATGGATGAAGAGGACGAAGTGCATGAGAGATATAGACAGGTGTGAGGGAGAGTGGGAGAGAGAGAGAGAGAGAGAGAGAGAGAGAGAGAGAAAGAGGGAGAAAGACAGAGTGAGTGAGAGAAAGAAAGAGATATGGATAGATCGAGAGAGATAGATGAGTAGTCGGTTCTTTATTGTTCGGTATAAAATAAATAAATTGAAAGCGGTGGCGGCAGATCGCAGACAATGAGGTCGGGTAATAAACGAGACAATTGTAAATAAAAGAAAAATAATATAATATATAAATGGTGGTATTTACAACGGCAGAGCTTATTTGACATTTACTTGACGTGGAAAACTAGTTTTCGTGTTTGCTTTTGTCCGGGGCGCGTGTTTACCCCGTCCGTCGGCAGTGTTCCGTTTGCAGGGGACGTCGAGGGGCGGACGTTGTGGTGTAGTTGTTTGGGTGGTCCTCCGCCTCAGTGACCGAAGGACGGACGTCAAGGATAATTATTATCATTTTTATCAACCGTAATTTAATAACAGATTTAGCCTGTTTTCGGCAAAGTATCTCCATAACACGATTGTTGAATTACCTATAAATAATATTAACATAACATTTTTGATTGGAACTATATTCCGACTTTTCTAACCACGCTCCGCCCACCAATCTATATAAGTCATTTAAAACGATATGTACACTAAATTGTGTCTATACAGACATACAATAATATGTATAATATAAAATATGATATTATGTAGTAATCGTTGTCGGGGTCACCGCAGAAAAAATAATAAAATCGATTTTTATATAAGCTTAACTATTATACTACAATTGAATTATGTGTGACACTGTCACGGTTTCAGTAGTAACGTAACACGTAAAATTAATGAATAATAAAATAATTACTTTACCTACAACAAACGTATTCCTTTGTTCCGAAAAATGTTTTTTTTTTTATTAAAACAATATTTAAGGTGGTACCTACCACGGACAATAATGTAATCAATAACACAACCCTAAATTAATGTTTTTTTTTTGTCTTCGTGTATACGATTCATTAGGTCGTATACACCTAGTTCTACCCTTTACGCGAGAAGGCGTAACGTCCCGCAGTGGTATATTATACATGTCCGTACTTACATTTCAATATCACAATAATTATTTATCGGCTTCACATTAATTAGACGTACATTGTTCGGCGTGCCTCTAATTTTAATAGTATAATATATTATTAAATAGTAATTTTCTTCTGCGCATAGGTTTTGATTTATTATCGGTATAAATCATCAAACCGTACGCGGTGGTACCGGCATTCGTATTTCGACAGTGATTCCCAATATAATATTATAAATTATAGTATAGTGTAACGACAATGATCATGGCAGCCGGCAATACTGTATATTCACTTGTTATAATGCAAGCTAGGACTGGTATAATAATATCGTACCGATGATGGGTTTCGAAAAGTAATAATTATTACCAATTGCACCACAACTAATTGATATTTAATATTCAATTACATTGTGTTCGTGTGTGAGACTCGGGGATGTGTACACGGGATGACATTTCCGGGGAAGGAGCTGTGGTGGTAGTGGCGAGGGGTGGGAGAGCTGCTGAGCGATAATAACAGTAAGAGGAAAAAATCCGATAGGTTTGTAAAATACGCGTTTTCAGTCGTCACACACGATGAGAACCACTGCTCAGACACGTTGTCGACTGCCGCTGCAGCAGTTGCCCTCCGAGTAATTATTATTATAACGTTCCGTTATTCCGCGCTCCCTTCGGTAAAAATCGTGTGTTCGTCTACGGTTTTCGGCCGTGCACTGCGACGATACAATAATATAATAATATATTACATTTGTGTTGGAATACGACAATGATGTCCTAAACGTTTTTTCGTTTTATTTTTGTTTCCAGAGGACCGACAACCTGGACTTGTCTCTATCGGTGGCCCACAACATGCACAACAACAACAACAATAACAACAACAACCACTACACAAGCATGGCGGAACACGTGAGTCTCCTTTTGATAATATCAATAATTATTATTGTGTACAAATATTGTTTTACATTCGTGGCTCGGGTAATGATTGAAATGGAATCGTATAATAATAATTATTATTTTTATCACTATATTATAACATGATACTCGATATTTTATCGTAGTAGGCATTATTTGATTTTACAATACCTAAGTGTTTCGTAATATATTACTTTCGGAGTATATAAAACCACAGCAAAGCCATATTTTGTGTCGAACAAACAATATTGCGTGAAAAAATTCTCACGGAAATAATGTCGCATTGTCGGAGCGATTTGGCGTTCGAGTATATTATTTTTAACGATAAAATCGGACGCCATCTATTCGACGTCGATATTTTGTTGATATCACCGTACACATTTGCGTGACGTGTTCACTTATTGTCGCCTAAAATATACTGTGCAGCTGCTGTACCGCCTGTACACAGCAGCGGAGACTTGTTGATGTTTTTGGCGTACGAAGAATGAAGATGAACGAGAAGAAGAAGAATATTATGACGATGCAGTCTGTTTTTGGGGGAAGAACGGATGGCTGCAGGACGGAGCGCGTTGTGTTCTTACCTGGTGTGTTGTAGTTGTATTTGAGTATTCGAGATTGTATGTGTGTGTGTGTAGACTGGACTACAAAGAAAAGTCATAAATTTTAATGGAATGCTTAATAAAATGGCCGAAGAAGGAGGGAAAAAAGTGTTACCACGGTGCCCGGAGAATGTAGATCAGGGTGAGGGGTGGGCAGAGTAGAGAGAGAGAGAGAGAGATATTTGTTGAATTATTCAACAAATATGAGGCCATTGTATGCTGATTTTTCTGTCTTCTCATAAATTTATCAACGCATCTTTCGCGATTTGTATCGTTTTATGAAAAAAAAATGTATAATAAATTGGCGAACCAGTTTCTTGTAAACAATATTTAAAAAGAAACGAAAACAAATGGATAAGTATTATACATAATAATTTATAATAATATAGTAACTGAAATTAGCCATTATTATTATTGTTATTATTATTATTATTATTATTATTATTATTATTATTATTGGTTCTTTCCCCCTCCGACGTGACGCATATAATCGTGTTTTTGAAACGCCCTTCTGATATACGGCCGGGACAGAGTGATTAATCGTTTTGCTTTTTGGAACATTACTGCCGAACGAATATGTCTTACAGGTTAAGTAATAATATTTCGAATATTGTTAGGTTTTTACGAAATCCTTATCCGTAGTTTTTTGAATACCTCTCATGAACTACACACACCATGATAATTAGGATACAAAGAGGCCAGACGGACCGACGTATAACAGCTGGCCATGGAATGTAATTCATTACACACATAGTGTGTATATATATATGTATAATATATCTTTCTACCCCCCTTGTCCTCCTCCCACCGTTCCCAGCACTTATAGTTTTTTCTACTCTACTACACGTTTCTTCTTTATTTAAATAAATGCACTTGTACCTAATATTCCGAGAAAACACTTTAAACCAGCCCACTAAGATAATAAAATGTGTAACAATATTCTATCGTTCGTTCACCGCTGCACAGTTCAAGATAAATATGATTTTATTTATTCAACAATTGCGCGAAGAATAAACAACTCGTTTATCTCTTTAGAACCATTAATCCTGCTGAACGTTATCTGTACGTGAACGGCAGAGAGTCAAGACACAAAGTAAATTGAAAAAAAAAAAAAAAATGAAAACAAATTCAACACACGGTACCTACTATCGGTCCGATAATTAGTATTCTTGACATTAATTATGAGTTATGACAATAATGATGACTATGGCATAGGTAGTTGTTCCACCGGTTTATTTCATTTTTACGTATATTATATTATTGTTCGAAAGCGATCGTCTATTGAACTTTTATTTTTTTTAATTGCATTATTGTCAACGTTTAATATTCACGTTAAATGCATTTTTCGGCATTCAATTCACATCTCATTAAAATAATTTGATCTTACTGTTATTAAAATATAATATAGTCGATGACCTTTATTCGATAGTCGACACGTACGTAAATAAAATCGATGGACTGACGGAAATACAATGATTTTTGACGGGCCGGGGCGACTTGTATATAACCTGCTTCCGTGCCGCGGACGTCGAAGCAAAGAAATGTGACAACGGATATCCGTAATACCGGAAGGAGATGCGTCAGTGCGCCAATAGGATTTGGTTAAGTCTACCGTGCAGGTTACGATTTATAGGTAGATAATTTGGTGGCGATAAAACCAAAAAAGATACTGTGCTTATAAATAAAGTGACTGTCAAGATTTGTATCTAGCAAACCTTCTTAAGTAGATTGTTAAACAGATTTTTTTTCTCGTTTTAAGTAGTTTATGCGTTGGAAATATACAGTGAACCAACACAAAAGTAATACTCAATAGTATTATTATATCTTCAATATTGAAAATGAAACCAGTTTTTTTCATTTTGTTCGCAGACATTTGACGCTCCTAGTAGTTTTTCTTATTTTTACGAGCCTCGAGAGCATAAATACTCTATAGTTAATTCCACGTGTTATCACTGAACGCAGTTCTGTAAAACCAAAGGTTAAAAAACCAAGGCTAGGCATAGTACCTATTCAAAAACACACATTTTTATCTAAGCTGATGCAATCCCACTGTAAATGCAATAAATTAAGTCACCTAAATAAACATAATTTATGTTCATTAAATTACTCGATAGAAATAACCAACCAATGAGTACCTACGTATAGATTTGTTTTATACTTAATCAACATATATTATATGAACAATAGTCAGGACAAACAATTATAACCTCTTAAATAATCACGACGTTTGTGTTTAATATTGGTATTCGTACAAATGGTTAAGGTAATAAATATTTATTATTTTATTTATCGTCGGCAGGGCCGGATTGTTGATTTTACTTAACGAAACGTTTGACCTTGATTCATTGAAATAAAATGCATGTCAAGCTGTTGAATATTAGAATATTTTGCTTACCCACAGTGTTCATCAAAAAGGTTATCAAGTATCATATTATTCCCATGGAATTTTTTTATTTCAAGCGTTTTCACTTAATGGCTTTAATTTGAAAAAAAAAACTATTATAATATATTCTTATAAATTATTCACGATTTCGTATTAACGTAAATTATTGTTAAATAAATCGCCTGGCAATTAATTAGAAGTTGTGAGTGGTGAAGGTTTTTTCTATCTTGTTTGTTGAAATATATAATAGGTATAAATATTATTTGTTTTTCCGTATAATAATAATGTTCATATTATTTTAATCAGTTTAATGTTATTTGCACTCGTGGCAGTGGAGCGGTGGAGCGCAAAGGATGTGATCGTCACTGAAAATATGACTTAACTAAAATCGGCTCACACATTTTTCGATCTCGATTTTGTACTTGCACACAATGCACACCACTCTTCAAAGTCGTCTCGTCTGGTATGTTTGAGGTCATTACAGTAATGTCAAACGTTTGGGGATGACATTATTATGTACATTTATTTGATACATTGTGAAATCAACGAAAAATAAAATATATAAATCGACGACGACGCTCGCCCATGATTCGTTCCAACGAAACACGTATAGGTCCTTATATAATAATAATAATAATAATATGGACAATAATGTAAATTATTTACAAACGTGTGCGGTGACGATGAACAACACACGTGAACAGTAGGAGAAACGTCGTCGGCCATGTGGGCACGCGATCTTGTGGCTTCTCGGCCATATGGAAGATTTTATTAAAAATAAAAAAAACTGTAATAATAGTGTGTGGTTAATGAATGCGTTTCGTGGCCAACGACCTATACGGGTGTCCGCCAATCAAGGCTGAGATCGGTTTAATCGTCTCCACGTTCGTATAGGTATAATAATTATATATAATATAGACATATAGATTATCAGGGGGCAACAATATAAATATAAACCTAAATTATATTATAATTACATCTACGTCGAGACGTCATCCCGTTACCTGTGGATTTTCTATTTATTTTTTTTTTTTTTGTGGGAGTTCTTTGGCTGAATTTCCAAACTCGAAGCAGCCCTTAACTGCAGTGCACATTATAATTTACTTGATATGTCGTATCCGCAGTAACTACCTCTGCCGTAGCCCTATATACCTACAGAAAGTTACCGTGTCGCCAAAAAGTATTAATAATTGATATCGACCTTGTTCGAAATCAGATCTTACACAATATTACGGCGGTACAATCGACTGTGAAAAAAATAAATAGAATCTAATATTATTATCTCAAGCAGCATTAATACTTCAGTCGCGTTCGACCTTGATACTTCATTAACAACTCTGCCGACCAAACTGGTCGGTACAACGCGGTGCTTCGTTTAACGTTCTGTATACAACAAACGACGATCGTTTGTTGAAAACAGTCATATTCATTTTTTTATGTCGGCGTGTAATTGACAGTGATTTTTTTCTTTCGAAAAGAGTTTTTTTTTGTTTCGTTTTTTAATTAAAAATATGTTTTGAGACGTATGGAAAAAATGGTTTGATTACTCTGTTATGTATGTCAAAATGTTATTTGTTTACTAAAACCGTACAAAAAAAAAAACCTGTAACCGTGAAATTCTAAGTACAAAAATGTTTGTACTTTGTTTAAATAATATTACACACTCGTTTGTAATGATACGCGAATACAATTTAAAAGAAACATGAATAGATATGGTTGAGATATTCAAGGAGATCATATTTAGTATTTCTTTTATGTTCCAAGTTCAAACATAATTGCGTGTTTATTATTTATGTACTTTTCTTGCAAAAACAACATTACATTTTCGTCTTGCGGGAATACAATTTCTCGAGAAAATGTTAGAAGTTTTGTTAAAAAAGTTTTATAAAGTTGCAAATGAAAACGGTGTCCTTTCATGGATAGCAACTTTTCTTTTACAAGCATTTTCTCTGCTGATAAAATATAGAAGCCTAACACCTAATGATCACGTTTATCGATTTTGATTTGAAATAAAGAATGCTTTCTATTTTATTGGCCTTATTTAATTTATCAAACTTTTATATGGTCTACAAAATGTTAACATTTTAAAGACTACAAAATTTACTGTCTTGTCAGGTTAATTTTAGTTAGCTTAAGTGCTTTTGAAGAATTTAATTGGTCATTAAAAATGTAGCTGTACCTACGTCATTGACTGAATAAGATAGCCATGTCAAAATAATTTAAGCTTATTGGAATAATACTGAATCACAAATAATAATTTCCCATTATGTTTAGTGTATTTTACTAAAATTAATGAATACAATACTTTTATTGTTACGTTTCGAATCCTAATAAATAACAAGCCTTGTGGAGTATTATGAAATATGATTTTAAATTAAATATCAAAAAATCAATGAAACATGATGGCCCGTTGGCTGAGAGGAAAACGAATTATGGAGTCACTTTAAAAATAAACGAATTCAGGGTAGGCGTAGCAGGGGGGGGGGCAGGGCAGATAATTTAAAACAAATACAGAAATGAGAAAAAGCAAATAGCAATTTAAAACAAAAGGCCATCATATATAGAATTTATATTGCCCCGGAGCGCTAATTACAAGTAGAAGGTTGAAATAAATTGTTATTGGCTCTGTGGTTACGTTTTTAATTAAGAAAATGTTTCGGAGCACTCATAAAACGTTTAATAAACATATGGTTCGTTACCGAATGAATCAGCGTGTAAGTTTTTTCGAACCACTTGTGTCGTCTGGAGCCATATATAATTCAACGCCGGCATGCGAAAAGTTCAAATTTAATTAGACACGATTTCCATTAATATTTATTTATTGAATTTGTTTTTTGGAAGACGATAATTTTTTCTTTCCTCCGGTTCCATCTATAATACAGTGTGGTCGGCTCGAAAACGCGATGACACGGGCGGCGGGATCCGATTGATTTCGGCACTCGAAATTCGGACGGCCCCCGGGGCACATTGTATTAATAATATTTATTGTTCGTTGCACGAAATTCAAAAATCCCCCATGACATTATATTACTGTGACACGGTTTTTAACGTGTTTAATCTTTTAATTTTCAGACATTTCACACGCCGAGTTTCGGGGACGAGGGTTTCGACATCCCGTCGATGGGCAATCAAGGAAACAACTCGACCACCTCGCCGAGTTGTAACAACGTGTCCACTCCGTCTAACGGTTCGGCCGATTCCATAATCACTTCGCACACGCAACCGCAGCCACCGTCTTTGGCATATCAACACAGCCAAGTGAGTAGTGTTTATAATAAGTTGGTTACTATAAATTGCAGAATACGAAAAATGGGGCTAGGAATTTGAATATTTTTATTTAATAATCCGCAAAATCGTCAAGTAAGGCAACGCGTCTATAATATTTCTATATTTTTCTATATCGTTTTAATACTTTCGTTTTTTTCACGTGGGCCAACTTCACGAACGTCGTTTTTTCAAAGTATAATATAAGTATTCCTATTTGTGACTAAACAATTGATTGGCATCTTGAATAATGATTTTTTACGGAAGAACATTATTGTATTTCAAACATAAATAACTCTAATTATGGTATCGAATTTCCAGCACACAAACAAAAGTTGGATATTTACTTGAATTTATCAGTAGTCTGTGTGTACCTATATTGTGATTTATTTATTTTCTGGTAATTTTATTTTGTTCGATTTCAATAACCGTGTGTTCACAATTTTTACATCATATTTTAAGAATTTGTATTGTTTGCAACGAGTCTACTCAAGTTATAATCAAATATAATAATATACAATTTTATTATTGTTACTGTAATACATTTCAGTCGTAGATTGACTACCACGCATACACCGATTATGTATTGCACAGTTTCTTGTGATAATAGGTATATGATAAAATATTACGTTTAATAGATCAGAATATTATTATCAATCCGTATTGGTTCGGATTTCAAAAGATGAGTGCTAACGCCAGCTGCCGATCGGACTCCAAAACTAAAAATATTTAATCATTTCCATCAGTATATTATATGATATAGGTACACGGATCGTTTATTATTATCGATCGTGATTATGAGTACTGGTTTTGTGTTTTTATTAAATTTCGTCATTCGGTGGAAATTTCCCTTTGATAAATGCGCGTATTTATTATCTTTGGTTTTCTTTTAAACGGACGGTCCGCCATGATGTATGTTAACACATTAATACTACGATTTTTTCTCTTTATGTCACTCCCAATATTTATGAGGCAAATCGTTTTATTTTTTTTTAAACTTAGTTTCTTTATTTATAGTGTTATACGACCGAAGGCTAATGTTTTGACACAAGATCCATAATTTCCTATGAAAAAATTTTAAATAACAATAACGATAAATCTTTTTGAATATTATTACTATGATGGGGTAATATTGTAAAATGTCTTTTTTATGTATCAATAATAATTATCAGACGAATACAATCGATTTGAAAAATTAATGTTCGTTTTAAAATTGTTAATATAATCAATTAAAGTTTAAGTTTTTAAATTAGTTTTTTATAGCATCTTAGAATTTAATTAAAAAAAAACATATTTCTATAATATTATATACAATATGTTGTATAGTTTTCTACTGCCTTTTACTAAAAACAATTTCAATTTTATATAATACACTGCAAATACATTGATGTTGGCATAGTACATAATAACCATAATTTACTATATTATGAATATTTCAAAGAAATTGCTTTTCATGCTATTGTTTGCTTATTATTTATTTATTTTGATTTAATTTTAGCTACCTCTCGAGGCGTTATGTCTATATCTTGCAAACAAAAATAATAAAATATAATCATATTAACAATAATAATGATGTGATTGTTTTAAATACATGAAAAAAGAAAAACAATAATCATAATGATGAAAACAATGATAAATTATATTTACAATTAGGTAGTAGTAACTAGTAAAACTATAAAACAAAAACGAACCAATTTAACAAAATGTAATTTGAATTTAAAATCGTCGTCATTGTCGTGTCACGTACGTCATACGCTTAATACACCGTAGATCGAAGATAATGGAAATAATACAATATCGTATTTTTTTTTTGTTTTAGCAGATGATGAATCACCATCATCCACAGGACACAGGCATGCAGGGAATGAACTCGCACAACTCACACCATTCGCATCAATCGGCTTACCAGCAGCCACTCTACTTGACCGGCCACGAACACGGCCTGGGCCTGAACGTTAGGTATGTGGTTCTAAGCCGCGATTACACATCGTAGTTTTTTTTTTAAATACATTTTTACCGACGTAAAAGTGGGTATTCGTTCCAGTATACTTATGTCTTATATACCTATAGTTTTATACCTTACCTGGTGGTTATATTATATCGTACAATTAACGTCATCATCGATGACTTAATGACAATAATATATATGCATAATGGCGATCGAAGTCTCCAAAATATTATATAACTTGCTGTTTTGACTTTTTCGCTTTGATCCGCGGATTTAACACGCTTTAAACGTCTTACGATACAATATTAATATTCTTCGTCGATTTTCGTCCTACATTTCTTCGGGCTATTATATTATACTGCACAGTTGACCAAAGGCGTTTTGTGACCGACCTCTATTGGAAACGCAACACTATACCACATGAGCTTATCTCCGATAAAGCATTTCGAGAGCGAATTATTTCACCAGGTGTTCGTTACAGGGACGGCGGTGTAATGGGCGCAAGGAAATATTATGCTTGCAATTTAATTGTCGTCTTCGTCGCAACGATTCTGCACTGGAACGGTTCGGTTGAACGGAATAACTTTTGTTGCCTTTACTAGCTAGTTTACAGATACATACATTAAACAAGAACACCGTTCGGTTAAACTGTTACGCAAGTTTCCATCTACTTTTATTTAATTTGGTTAAAATTTATTACGTCGACAGTTAATATTTAGTCATTATTTTTAACTCGTATTCAAACAAGAGTTACCCGATGAATATAGTACAAACAAATTACGTAACTCTGCAGTGCCCGAGTTCAAGAAACATTATTAATTCAAAACACTCAAACACAAATAACGCAGCGTTCGTTAATTGAATTCACCGCGACGTCATTTTAATGTAGATGAATCTATAAGATATAATTTATTGAATGCAATTAAAACTTGATGTGTATACATTTGTGTAATGTATTAATAGTACTAGTACTAATATACTCGTGTTCCATCATATAGCCGTTTTAGTGTCTATAGTGGAATATTAATAAATCCTTGCTAATAATCAATTTACTAATTAAAAACTGATCAATGATTAACGAGCAACCAGTCCATTAATCAATATTATATTCGGGTCGAGGAGAGACGGAAGTAAAACTTTCTCCAGTGTGCACTTTGAGTTTTCAGGTTAAACACGGACGCTGATTTTATCCATAGATTAGAATTATGTTTGGACGGCCGTTTAAAATTAGAATTTCTAAAAAATAACTTAACGATTTTTATCTAGAAATAAATGTTTTCTGTCGTGTATACGTACAGTTAATGTGGATTGTTATTTTGAAGTACACTTTAAATTATTTTTACGTTAGCCATAAACATTAATTTAGTTGAAAATATGATGAAATGACAATAAATTTATCTAATTTTTGAGCTGCTGCCCAGAAAAAAAATACCAAGAACAGGTTATTTCTTGGCGATTACGTTTTACTAGACACCAACTTATGTTTAAATCCTCTCCGACGGGGCTTTTGTAATATTTATGTGGCGACATATCACAATTTATAACCACAAAATTTACTAATTGTTGGTGTTTATTACAGTTCCAGTTACTCTCAACCGAGTTACACTCCATTGAACAACACGAATACCACGAACGGTGCGCAGAACGGCATGATGTACCATCGGCACCACCAAGCGTCCAACCAACAACAACAGCACCACCAAGCGTCCAATCAACAGCAGCAGCAGCAGCAGCAGCAACAGCAACAACAGCAGCAACAGCAGCAGCAGCAGCAACAACAACAACAACAGCAACAGCAACAGCAACAACAGCAACAGCAGCAACATCATCATCAGCAGCAACAGCACCCACCCACCCACATGCCGCAACCAACACATTTACCAGCCCACCACTACACCAATATGGGACCACCGGCCACCAGTCCGCTGACCCCTTCGCTGGACATGCACCGGCACTCAAATCCCACGCCAACGCCGGAAGGCATAAACACTACCAGCGACGACAGTGACGACAGCACACCGCACCAAACGATGGTAAGTCCTAATCTGAACTCACCTCCTGAAAAATGTCTCTTTGGATGTGGGAGAGGGTTAGGTTGAACGGTAAGGATGGTTTTCCGAATAGATCGCCAATGATTTTTCTCAAATTTCTTAGAAACACGATCCGGGCGCAACCAGTACAACTTCCAATGGTTGAGAACTGCTTAAATCTCTCTCCCACTGCCTTCTCCAAACACGATCCTGTAAAACTACTACTGTGCTCCGTTCACCTTGACCTCCACATGTCGTCGTGTTTGACGTTGGCCAATTTTTTAAGTTACGTGTCACGATAAATCATCGGAAATGAAACCATTAATGGTTACGTGCCACGATATTCTCGGAAGCTGGTTTAAAAAAAAAACTTACTAAAGCAATTTAGCTTAAAATGTTTTTTGTATGATTATAGGTACCGTTCGAACACGTTTAGCTAATATTCTGTCTTTGCACGACATATGTGCCGTGTGCCCCGTAACGATCCAATGATTCAAACCACCCAAACAGGCAATGCACATTTTATGGTTTTGTAATATTTCACGACGATCGTAAACGATTTTTTTCGCAGTCGTGGTGAAGGGATTCATGGCCCGGAATCTAGATAGTGTAATTTAACTTCCAATTGTTATTTTCCCGTTGTATTGTTGCTGTTATTCACAACTTCAATTTCCTGTTTATGTTTTTTGAGTGTTCAAAGTAATCCAATAATGTCATGTAAAGTGAAATAAAAATGGGTAGGTGTTTTCAAGTAAAATTCTAGGCAATTCCGTTTGAATAATGTATGCAATTTTATGCAAAGGGTAGGGTTTATATTGCCTCTAAAAAAAAATAAATATATACATATATTTCTTTCACATCCATATTTCATACGGTATTTTCGGGTTAAAAATGTGTTATTATCGTACCTTGCTCTCATACATATTTCATGGAACTTGGGTAATATATATATATATATGTTTCTTAGTTAATATTTATCAAATAATTGAATGCCATTTACATGGGCTTTAGTAAAAAGAAAGATGTTAATAATACAAAAGAAACATAATATTACCTATTCGAAAATGTGAGAAATAAACAAACTACGTTTTCTTTGAAGTTATGAGAAGGGTGAATGTTAATATTATAATATTTCGTTTGCCGATGAAACGCGTATAGGCGTATAGATAAATGTCTTAGTGGAATTCGCTTTATCGTAATTTATTCCAAATTCTTTTTTCAGCTTGCAATCAAGAGAGAAAGGCTATCTCCGGAACCGTTGGATGGTTGCGGGATCATGAAAATGCAGCAAAAGAAGCCGAAACCGACCAAAAAGAAAAAGAAAAGGGATCCCAATGAACCGCAAAAGTGAGTACCTTTATTGTTGACGAATTGGTTTTGTTTATCTCGGGATTACGAAATCGGACGAAAAAAATAATAAGACGAAGTCGACGACGAACAATATTCGATGGCGTGTAATAATTATCGTCCGACAATTTCCGGTGTTGTAGCAGTATACGATACATTATAATACTCTCGGCAAAACACACCCTCCTATTTGGCGTGTGTTTTTATCTGTAAACGAAAAGGGAGAGTTTTACGATGTTATGACTCGGATCAATACCCGGTGCAGTCTGTTGCTGCTCGGAAGTTTTCAAACCAAATTCCCTACACCCTTTTTATATGCACCCCTCAATATGTGCCTATTCATGGCATTCGTTTCAGTCGGCTCTTCCGTGAAAATGCTATTTTGCCGTCGTCGTCGTCGTCGTCGTCACTGAGCCCCACGAAATTAGCTTCACCGGTTTCGAGAAAAACGCTTTTCACACGAGTACCTACCGCCACTCGGCTGGTCGTCTGCAGCAGTTTCGTATACGACTCGAAGGTTTTATTGCACCTCGCTCGTATAACTTAAAAGCTTTACTTTTGTATTAACATTTTTTTTTTAAGCACAAACAAGTTTAGGAATCCCTGACGTATGGTGTATGTGTACGTGCGTGCGCACGCAGCATGTGCATATATGTGAGTGCGTGTGTGTGTGTGTGTGTGTGTGTGTGTGCAATTGTATTTATTTTTAATGCTACGAAGTTTGTAGTTTGAACAGCTGCGCCATTATATACACACATTTTTAACAGTTTAAAAATAATATGTTTGACCTATCAAGGGTAAATCTTGAAAATAATTACTTTAATTAACAGTAATATGTTCGTTTTTTTTTTTTTTATGTTTCCTTTGTGTATTTAATTATTTAATAAATCATTCGGTGGAGTGAAAATATATTAATATATCCTCGCAGTGGCTCACAACTCTTCATAATAATAATATGTTAATTGCACTCTGAACAGACTGCGTTGATCGACGACGTAAATAATTTAAAGCTCTACATCAAAAACGGTTTTACGGATTAGGTTATTTAAAGAACTTCCGTTGTTCGTATTAAAACCTATACTCCGTGACTTTTACACATAGTACCACCTACACCTACATCGTTACTATTATTGTAATACGCCACTTATTTACGCCACACGATGATATAGATATTATTACCTATAAACATCGTGAAAACCATATCGTACGGTGGAGGTGTATTATCATTATTTAAATAGAAGAATAACCATTTTACGGGACTGCGGAAAATGTGACTTCACAACGACGACGCGTTACAAAACAACAACAATAATACAAATACAAATAGTGCAATAACGTCAAGTAAGCGGCGTGTATTAGCCTCAGGAGCCGAGTGCGCTTTGTACCTAATGTTTACGTTGGTCCTTCTATGAGGATCTTTCTTAACTACATAATATATATATGCTCGAAACACATGTCCGGGACGGTGGGGTGGGGACGGAGAGGTCTTTTGTTCGGCTCTCATTAGGAATAATTTATGTTTCGTTTTTCTCTGCACGCCATTGTTGCCGGCAAACGGTCTCCGCGAAGAGCCGCGTGTCGTGCTATTATTTCCCTCCTCTTCTTCTCGTTTGTGCACACACGAAACGCGACTGCACACTCGTAACAACTTTACTCCCCCCTCCCCAAAAAAAAAATAATGTAAGAAAATAACAAAAAAATACACATTTTATTAAACGAAATTCCCGGGCGATTCGGATTTGTGTTGTTCACAGCGGAATGAATTGTATTTACACAACACTATCGCACTGGCGCTCGGACGGTGTATTATAATATTATAACGATACCGATTGTTGATTATATTATTGTAGTTAGGTAAACAATATAATATTGTGTTGTCCACGGGTGAAACTAAATCACATGGCATATAATGTCATTGTATTGTATACAAAAACGTTGCCTATAATGGAAAACCAATAAAATGAGTCTCGTATAGCGACTTTTCTACAGAACACTTTTTACACTTGTACTATAGTAATATGTTAGTAATCTGATTTTTACATAATATTATGTCTTGGAGAATTCTTGCATTTGTAATAAATATGAATGATATATTATTTTGCGATTTCCGAATGTTTTTTCGGTGGTTTTACTGGTTACATATAATTTCTACCCTTAAATTTAATTTAAAATCTAATTTCGAAATATATGTCTGAAAAATTTAACGTCCGCATAAATATTTTAATATTGAACAAAATAGCGCTTTATACGCCCCTTGTAGGTTTTATGGGCTATAATCGTTTAAAGTTTGGTCGTGTGGAGAAGAGTGGTGGTGGCAAAGTATATGATTTTATCTCCTTGCACATTTTAACTGCCTCTTTTAAATTTTAAATATAGTTATAGCTTTCAATAACAAACTGTTATTTTTTTACAATATCGAATATTCATAAATCAATAATTCCGCTAAAGAACGTTTTTTTCGTCATAATTTAAAATATAAATTAGGGGTGTCATCATATGAAAATAACAAAAAAAAAAATATATAATATATATATTATATTTTTTTTTAACAATATAGGTCCGGTAGTAAACGTTCCAGAAATATAAAAATATTTATATACAACATCAGATAAGTTAAAATATTAAAAACGGGAAATGTTCCGATCAATAAAATAAGCACTTCAGAGTACAGTTGTTAAAAAATAAAAATGAAAGTCTCCCCTGCAGAAAGCAATCACCAAAATGCTCCATTTTTTTAAATAATAATAAAAAAAATGGTTTTAAGTTATTTTTATTTATTATATTTATTTATTTTTTCATCGCGAGCGATATTTCAATTAGAAATGTGACGTCCCTCTGCGGCATGCTTATATACGTCAATAAATTCTATTCCCCGTCCGTTGTCGCATTTAATATTATCGGTCGTCAGTTTTTTTGGTTCAATAACGGTTTCGAAATACCGAATATCGGCATCGAACAGAGTCATATATCAACATTTCGCCACCAGAAATCAATATCGTTTGTCGTTTTTAATTTCGAGAGTGCATTTGTGAGCGGCACGTAAAACGTCCGCGGAAGGAGATAATAATGATATTATAACAAATAGTCTCGGAAACGTTCTCCTTGTCCTGCACACAGAGGCAAGGGTAGGTACGTCCCGGTATATTATTATTATTATTATTATTGTAATATATGGTAAAACGACTCTGCGCAAAACGTCAGCGGCCGACAGCGATAATAATAATTGATCATTAAAAACGGACATGGAATTGTTTTCGGAGAACAGTGGTTTTATATTCGCTTGGAGATTATAATCGAGGGAGCCCGGACACCACCCTCCACACTACCTACCCATATATAATATACTGTGCACACAATGATATACACATACTCAAGTGCACGATATAGCAATAACGAAAATGATAACGTGGAAGGTGTACCCATCCCCAGACGGTCGGCGTTACTATATTATAATGTTATGCAATTCGAAAGTTAATCAAAATATTAAACGATATACGGTCGTAACAACGACAATACGATATACTATTACTATGCATAATATTATTATATTATCTGCTGTGCAATATTTGCTCACCTAAATGTATTTGGCACTCGCTGCAATACGTTCAAATAGTCCTCGTCGGAGGAGGAGGAGAGGAGAGCTCGTCCAGACGGGGGTCCAACAGGGTATGTTATGATGGGTATGGATACTCCGCGATTCCTCATCGATAATAGTAATAATATCATTATATCGTAATAACAACAAGAACCGCTTGTATCCCGCCACCGTTTAAGCTCTGTAAAATGCAAATTGACGTTGTGCGCTCGCCAGACCGGATATAAATCGTACTATGTGTATACGAGCAGCACTGCTCAACGTCGGCGGTTTTGCGGTAAATATTAAACGTCTGTGTGCTGTATAGGTATAGCGTGCGCGCGCAGTGTTGCATGACAAGCTGTGGTATAATTTCGTTAAATAGATGCGATATAATCCCCTCTCCGAGTGGGGGGGGGGAGATTTCGAAAAAAATCGCCGACGAGTCGACAGAGTGAGATCAGAGGATCTGAGGAAATTAAAACCGTTTCGAGACTGCAGCTGCAGTCGTCGGGATGGGAGGGCATAACATCGTGTTATCTCGGCGAGAGCACATAATAATAATCGTTCGTCTCCCGACACAAATGAAACGATTTATACAAATATAATAAACTGTAACCACGATATTATCCGTAAGAATCAGCGTCAACCATTCGATTTCATCGATCTCTGAACGTATAATATCAATAAGGCCTTATAGTCAACTACACGTGCCGTAGACAATACTCTTGATGATTTAACTCGCCCGAGAGTCGCCCTGACCGATCAAGCCTACAGTAATTGTTATATCAAATGTGTCAAAAAAGGTCCCTGGCGGTGCTCCTCAACAAACTACAGCTCTTTCGTCAATCTCCACCAAACCCAAAGTGTTTATCTTCGTGATGATATTGTTCTCACAGAGCGTCCGCGGTACAGACCTTTTGGTTTTTGATTTTATTTTCAAAAATTTCCTTTTTATTATGTTATATTATTAAACGTTTTCGTTTTTAAATATTCACTTGTCGTGTATTACAATTGTTTTTGTTGTTGTTGTTGTTACCGATGTCGTGATAATGGACGTCGAGTGGTAATCTTTCAACGGTGGTGTACCCGCTTGGGGGGGTATAAGATTATAGTATGAATTATATTGTATATTAATTGTCGTAGTTGGCACGTAGTCTTATACACTGTACGTTTTTTTTTTATTTGTTGGGCATTATTATAGTGCAGTAGTAGTTGTTCCGTTGGAAATCGTCAAGTCGTACATTCTAATATACGACTATTATATATAATTTATAATTACACCTCAAGTGGAAACGACTGATAATATTATAATAGTCATACGATATTGTTATTCCGACGAACTCTACTGAATATTATTATTCGCGGAAACTTTCATCTCACAGGGGTGCACACGATATATTTTATTTCCGGAATGTGGTAATTTTCGTCAAAAACTTCAAAACCGTCCACGCGTTCTGCAACTCGTCCGTCCGTTCGTCCGCCGCCGCCGCCGCTCTATTACGTTCTCATTCGTTATCCACCGACAAAAGTTTATTATACTTTATGTTCCGTCGGAGTATTGATCTTTGTTACGTTGGAATGGGGAGGGGATGATGATTATGGGCGCGGGGAAGATTATTGCTAAAGTTAGTTCGAGTGTGTGTGTGTGTGTCTATATGTACAGTTGTTTGACATTTAAACTTTTCGATGAAAAAAATTCGTCTTTACCTCGTGCAGAATATGAATCGTTACGCAAACGAACAGACGCGGAAGGAAATATAATATCGTGTTTTCTGCAGAAAGTTTTCGCGTCTGTGAGTGAATTATTGACTATTGTGTGTGCTTATACATTACAATACAGTCGTATTGTATTGTCCTTCACCGTAGCAAACGTTTTGTTTGTACAATTTTACGTTAATAATATTAGAACCGACGATTGGGCGAATAAATCATATTTTTACGGGTTAGTGGGGTGCTGGTGTCGGGGTGAACTTTTGAGCGTATATCGGCGCAACGTGGTCAAAAAAATTTGCTCGTTGTCCCCTATCGCCAACGACAATACTTAGACGATACGTACATACTTGCCGTCGCTCAATTTCCAGTCACGTGACGCTGGACGTACCTATAACTGGATTCTATAAGGCAACCAGCTAGGAACAAGATTTCTTTAGTAAAAAATAAACATTGTTTATGCTGTGTTTCTGTCCAATGCGAGTAGCGCAGTGGTTTTGAATCAACGGAAATAGGTAGTAGTCGCCATAATAGTGTGGTGCATCGATCGATAAACAAAGTTTTATAAACAAACCTGGGCACTCTGTAAACCGCGGCCTGTGTCTCGGCAAAAGTTTGGCTAACGAGTGAATGACTTCTCTCCGTGTTCGCTCCTTGGAAATCAATATAACGCTATTCATTTACGGAATGTAATATGACATATAATATTTTATAATAACACGGAAAACGTGATGAAAATAATCATTTGATTTTCGTTGATGCACACGGCCGTGCTGTGTATATGGATCAAAAACCGTTTTATATATGTCTGGACTTTATGTTGTGGACGGGTGACCATTTATATACACTCACACATATCTATATACATATATATCTGCAGTATTTACATATATTTATAACACTCCGAACAGTCTCATATTATACGCAGTGAGATTGTGAAATATTATTAGTGGCGCCAATCTTATAAGCTAACTTCCCCCACCAATGTTATTGGATCCTCCCCAAAATCATTCGTCATTGCTGAATAATGAAAAAAAGGGAGTGTAATAATAAATAAAAATATAACTCGATTATTTTGCTTATGCATTTCTTACACTTTGTAGTTCGCAGTAAAAGAGTATTATACAAATATAGATAAATTAACAATATAAAATCCATTAAGTAAATTAATGTATAACGTTTTATTATTATTAAAAAAAAATACAAACAAAAACAAGTCTGGACGATGTTTATAATTTAATTTATTAGTTACTTTTGTACAAAGGAAAAAATATATGGAAATCAAAAACAGAAATTACTTCATTGTAAACGTTGAATAATAAAAAACAAAATAACATAATTAAAACATAACATAAATAATATTTAAAGTGGCGCTTTAAATAAAAAAATAAAAATAATATTAATAAAATATGAGTTTATAATTTCGTAAAAAAAATAACTGAAACAACTTTAACGTACATAATTAATTTAATGAACAAAATATCGAACAGTTAAATTAATTATTTTATCATCTAAGTAGTACAAACAAAATAAATTACCCAGAGTATTTTTAGTGGACGTTATAGTCATTTTTATTGTTCAAATGCATGCGATATAAACATCAATGGGATTTAGTGTGCCAGAACGTCCGGGACTTAGTCATAAACTTCGGAACCCTAATAATTAAAAATGTATTTCAATTTTCAACCAATCTAGAATCACGATTAGTTATTATACTTCGGGCCGAATACAAATTAAACAAATCAAACAATAATGTTCGTCTCTTTTTGTGCGGGAAGTTTCAATCCCATCAAGTTCGGTAATATAAAACTTTAATTAAAAAAAAAAAAAATTGATCGTGCACCTCACGATTGACTAACTGTCGAGAGCATATTATTATAATTATCGAATCGGACTCTTATTATATATTATTATAGTCTCTCAATAATACGACTTGAATAAAACGAATCTGGTCGGCGATGACGCCATAAGCACACAGTATTTTTGACACCTTGCAGTGTATAAAGAAAAGAAAAAAAAACCGTTGTCGGAGCTGAGTTGTTTTTTTTTTCCAAACGGCCTGCTGTCAATTGTGTCACCTCGTGCGTGTGGTACCATTAAGCACGTTTTACGATATATTTTTGTAGCTGGCACCACACGATAATAATAATAATATTGTTACTGCTAAAACCTATTCACTGGGATACAATATAACATAATATTAATATCGAATTAAATCGTTTTGTTTTTCCAGGCCGGTATCCGCTTACGCGCTCTTCTTCCGGGACACCCAAGCTGCGATCAAAGGCAAAAATCCCAATGCTAGTTTCGGCGAAGTGTCCAAGATCGTGGCGTCCATGTGGGATTCGTTGGACGCGGATCACAAAAATGTGAGTATACCATATACCATAATAATATTATTGTGTACAGTTGATAGTGTATTTTGTCATATTGCGAAAGTATAGAACGATAATAATTATAATAAGTACATAATATATTAATATTTAATACCCACTGCTCAAAGTTGATCGGGTGCCAGTATAGCCCGAACAATAACTATACGATTACCTATCTACTATGATGTGAAAATAATATTTTACAGCGTAACAGAAGTACATCAATTTAGTGTAACGTTTGTTCCGTTGTTGAATTGGTATGGTAAATGAAATATTGTTTCTGTGTGACTGACGGATTAAAGTCCTTTTTATTATCAATTCTTTCTCTTGTCAAGCTCGCTTACGCGCAGACATTTCCTCTTATTATTTATATCGGCAAAGGGAAACATTTTAAAGAGAAGAAAAGCACCCCCCGCGTACCGCCGCTGTTCCGTTTCGTTTTTCACAGCTACACAATCTCTATACGAATGAAAAATAGTAATCCATTTTTAGGAGTGCCCTCAGTCAGTTCGAACACATTAATAAAACCAAATACTGAAAAGAGAAAAACAGAAAGAGACGAAACGGTGGCGTAGAAATGATGGTAGGATGGATGGGCGGAGAGGTTATTTTCTTTCCATATAGAATAAATAATCTCGGAGCTGACGCTATGAAAATATAGGTTGAACGGGTGGCGTTGGGTCGGTGGAGAAGTAATTTCTAAAGCTTTTTCACTTGTAAATTTGCACGCTGAGGTATATTTGCGTGTGCGTGTGTGTACGGGTAAAAAGGAAATGCCGCTGAAAACATGTAAATAATAATAATAAAACAACATAGGATGAGCGGCGGGGGAAATGCATACTTGGCGAATTCTGCGTGTATATCTAGTCCTTTGGACACAAATCGAAATAACCTATTATTGCTTTACAGTTTATTAATAATAATAATAATAATAATAATAACAAAAAATAACTCACACAAGACAAACAATAATAGTTTCGTTGAATAGAAGTCCCTATGGACGTGATTAATTGAACATCGATATATTGTGTAACCGTAACAAATATAAATTACGTGTGCATAACGGAACTTAATGAAAAACGCTATTAATAATGACGTGCGTCTTATACACAGTGTATGTTTAAAACGTAACTGCGGTGATATATTAGCCTAAATATCACGTTGAAGCGACGTACAACAAAGCTTTCCGAGAAACATAATAATAATAATAATAGTATGTCTGAAACGAAAATACGTTATTAAAACGCACCGTCGTAAATAGTTTAAATTTGTCGGAGGAAAGCTTTTCGAAAATGCTAATATTAATTTCCCTCTTCCCTCGCCGCGTGTCCCCTTTTGACGCTTTCCGCCGATACATTATTCATTGTTTCAAAAACACAATGTCTTATTTGACATCTCGGTATGTACACTGCCTGCGGATCGGTTGTATTTCGTCATATTTTTCCGGGTAAACGTTTCCCGATCGTTCGTGGAAATGTCGTGCTCGAGTTGTGTTATACGATACGAATTTCCTCGACTGCAACAAAATGATATTGATGTCTCTGGGCGCGATCAACCGCTTGCACCGTTTACAAACCGGAGTGCATCACCGTGGAATAAGACGTTATAAGTCCGACGGAGAACTCTTACATTTTACGGAAATCCGCTCAAAAAATATAATCAAACGATATTATAATATGATAACATTATTGATAATTGTACTTCGCATAAAATATTATCAATCATTGAGCGTCTGATTCGCATTTTACTCACCGAATTTAAAAAAAGAAAACCATTTCCGAGTATTGACTATATTATGATATTATGTACCTATACGAGTTCAAACAGAAATAATACCATTATAATATTGTGTGTACCTACAACCTATATTTTTGTTTTAAGCGACAAATGTGTACGCAAATATTAGGTATGCGCGACTAACGGTTTTCGATAAACGTGGAAACGAACAATAATAATATTAATATTCTAGGACAGTGCGAGTATATTATTATGTCATGTAAAATACGGTAGTTGCGGGCCAGTTAGTAAATTAAGCGTACCTGCTGAACTCGAATAATAATCATAATATAAAGAAATAAAATGTTTGCATTATGTACACACATAATACATTATAATAAAAATGTTGTATTAAATGGGTTGTTGGGATAAATACAGACAAAACAAAATGTTAATAACAGTAAACTACTAAGTGCAGTACTTTCACAAATCTGCTGACCCGATTCTCATGATTCATAGGCCCATGTGTATATATTATGTATGTATTCTAAATGGATCGAGAGAAATCAACAAGACACTTCCGGAATAAATCAATTTCTGGTTCCTTATTGTTTTTTTATTCCTTATAAACACAATATGATAAGATCATATCGTTTTGACATTCACGGTATTATGTAAAAAAAATTAAAAAAAATTCAGACTTCTACTCACTATTATTACAGCAACAGTATAAAATGGTGGTATGGACGGTGGTGAAGTAAATTATCGAATAGCAGTGAGGTTGCAGTGGTCTTATATTTAGTCGATACTGTTATCGTTAAATTCGGCGTTGTGATAAACTGTTAGAACGCGGAAAACAGACGTGCAGTAAAATCAACAAACCGTCGTTAATATTTTTAAATCCAGTCGGAGCTAACTACGAGTTTATTATACTCGGTTTTATGTGAAATGCCCATAAAAAACTTTCTAAAACGAACTAATGTACTACGGTAGCGAACCCAATAGAACTATCAAATAGTCATCCGCGTGAAGTTATATGGCTATTACCGAGTGCCGACTACAAATTGACATTTCTCCGATCGCAATAAATCGATATCGATAGGTAAATCAAAACTTTCTGCGTGCTGTTAGGTAGCTCGTTGGAAATAACATGTGCAACGCGAATTAAGGATTTATCGCGATTTATCGGTTATTGAAATGTAATAATATATATATATTACACACGGACGGTAATGTGTTTCATTATTATCAAACCGTTTGAATCGATAGTTTTTCCGAATGCCGTCGTAAAAGACCGATACCCAATCTACCGGAGGTCACGTGTAAAGCGTTTTATTACAAGCGACGTGTTATTTGTGACGTGGTGCATTAGCGTTTGCGATTGCGATAAATTATATTACGGTTGACCGTTTTGACGGGAAATAAAAATATGAGAAAAACCAACAAAGTAGAAACGCATATTGTATTAGGTAACGAAACACGATCTTTAACCATGATGACCCGCAGTGCTCTGGGAAAAGTGTGACGATTCTCTTAAAATAATTATAATATTATTCCATTTATCTGCGCGTGCTATTGTCTCTCCCCCCCACCACACACTAAGTTTGGGATAGTTTGAACAAGAGTGAACATGATATTATATATATGTATATCGGGAGTCTGCTGCAGTGAATCCCGGGGAGGAGTGGCGTAAACTTCAAATACCTTGACGTGACGTTTTGATGTATACGAAAATCGCATTTATCGAAAAACGAACAGTACTGTTTTTGAAGCTCTCACTGTAGGCGTGGAGAGTTTGGAAATTCAATTTCGTCAGTACCCCGAGCCGTACGCAATAATTTGGTTATTTTTAATGCGGATCCCCTCGGGAGCGCGCCGTACAAATTTATAATAACTAAATGCAAAGTTTGCTTTTGCTATGACAATAGAAAGAAAAGAGGTGAACTCATTGAATGGGACACGAATGAGGGGGTTGCCGCGTTTAAAAGCGATTTAAATCAATAATGTTTAAATTAGAAACTTTGCTCGATACCACCCCCACTAAAGTCTGCGTTCCCGCCTACGCTCGGCGCAGCACTGCCGATTTTGCATTCATTTAGGCATCATCTGGCACACACAACTCACACATATTGTACAACGGGGGGAATGGACTTTGTGTGCAAATCGCCTGTCTGAAATGTCGTGATTATTAACCAAGAAAAAGGGTCCCGTGCAATAAGGTGCGAACGAATGTTCGTGACACACACACGTGATTATATTTACATAGGTATACGAATGTACGATAACTATAAATAAAAATAAATTTTAATTTAAGATAGGTAGTATGCATTTTGAAAAACAAAACAAATTAATTAACAACTTACTTATTAAAAGTAATAATCATTGTTGAAAATGGAAACGTTGGTAAACTTAAATTCTTCATATGTCGTTAATTTACTTGCACTATGATGAGTTTTTCTTTATCATACGCATTATGAATAATATTATTATGCTTTATTATTTGCAAACTGAATATTTATTACTATTTCCTTTTCATACAAGTCGCTATATAAAATAGGTTGATTAAAATAACTTTTGAGTGTCAAAAATAATTAATTGCTCACTAGATTAATGATATTTTACAGAAATATTTCTCATAACAGTATAATTGACCTTTACGTTTGATAAGCAAACTTTCCAATTTCAAAACAATAATTAAAAAATTATCTATTGAAAGGAATGTGAATGGCGTGTCGCAGAACACGAGTGTACAAAATAATGATTATAATTTCTAACTACTCAAATTGTTGTCCGTACGTAAAAAAAAAAAAATGTCTGATTCATAGGTAACCGTTAACCGTATAGGTAGGTAACTGTTATATGACTTGATGCTATTTATTTTCACGTTTACTTCTAAACGACAATGTTTGATAGTAAAAAATAATGTTACGTTTATAATGATTACAGGTGTACAAGAAGAAAACGGAAGCCGCCAAGAAGGATTACTTGAAGGCCTTGGCTGCATACAGAGCGAGTCTTGTATCGAAGGTATACAATTTACAATATTCTTATCAAATCCTATGTGTACAATATAATAATATTATTCCATTATGCACGGGGGGGGGGGGTTCGTTTTATTTACACTATTATGTTATATACGCCGTTCTATAACTTTTACAAACGGAAACTTTAGTGAAAACTTTTCCGGGAAAATAGTATTCAAAATTATTAATAGTCAAGTTTTATCGTGTTCTTTTTATCGACCGGCGGCAAGGTGGTTGTTGATGGCGGAGAGACGTCGGGTGGGGGGGGGGGGGGTGGGGTGTCGATGGTCGGAGGTGAGCGGCAGAGGTGGCGGTACGTAGTATAGTGGTGATTCTCAAACAAGCGGAAAACTTAAAGACCGCCACCCCGGGCCGGCAAAGAACTTTGCAAAGTCTATCTATGCTCGGGCGCGTTCGAGGGTATAGTGGATAAGAGGATTTATACTGTAAACTCACGCGGACGGGAGCTGGAGAACCATAAATAATAATAATAATACCTAGTATAACAATATGATTTAGAACTCACCCACCACCACTGTATTGTTTCTAAAACAATAATAGTACAATGTACGCGTCATATTGCGCGTTGTGACTCCTGACTATTATGACGACGACTACCCTGTACTTAAACACTCTGGTGTCATTTTCAGGGAGGAGAACCGGACTCGAACATGTACGCCGGTGGGTACGTGGGTAGCTATGGTGGGGTGTACAACGGATACTCGCCACCCGCTGGTCTACCCTCGCCACCCATGTCCGTGCCGTCGCCTCACTCGCAAGTTCACGGCCAAGTCAAGAAGTCAGCCATGATGATGGACAATCGGGTACCGGTCATGAACAGCCACCCGCAAAACCACAACCAATCGGTAAGTGTACAAACGGCGAACATAAATAATATTATAATTCCTGCGTCCAGAGGGCGGCAATTGGGGGGGGGTCTTTGATATAATAATATGATTTATTTATTCGCTTGAACACAAATCGTGTGACAATCTCTCACACTATACCATGATATTATGTGACGAGTACCTACACTCAAATTTTGTGTGGTTGTGATGCCACCCGTGGGTCCCCTTTATTGTGTGGAGGTTTGGGCGGTTAGGTCGGGTCGGGTCGGGTATGCTAAGGCCATTTCCAGTTAACATCCGTACATAATAGTGTAATATAATGTTATTGGTTATGCCGTTCGATGGCGACAAATCCGGGTCCAGCTATAATAATAATATTAGCCATGTATCGGCAACACACCAAACATGATAATATTATTGTTATCTATGTGCACGTCGTGTAGCATTATACAGTTATGGCGATCCTAATAGCATTATTGCACTGCGTTTTTACTCTAGTATAGGTACCTAACTGTCGCTCGCTAAACTTTACATGTTATTATATTATTTTGGTATATAATATACTTGACACGCACACGTCAATACCGTTTGCCTCTCGTGATTTAAATTTCGAACGTCGGGTTCAAATATAAAACCATAGGAGGTCTACTCTGAAAATAACTCAAAAAAGACTCGCACGAATAATATTAAACTTTAAACAGATGTTATTGGTCACAATCCAAATTTAATACTTTTTAATGAGTTGGAAAACGGCAGTATGGGACTATTGAAAACTTCAAAGACCACTAAATTATTATAATTCTAGACAACGTCTCGCGATGCTTTTAAGTATATACGTAAATATAATTTGTTCATTTGTTGTATCATCATGGTCGCACATAGTGGCGTTATTATTAATATTTATAATGATTTCAACTTTATGGCACCCTTATAAGCGGATTCGTCTAACTAGACGATTGCTATAAATAAATAAACATTACACGATGGCAGTACCTACATTACTCGTATGAACTAAATATATTATAATACACAAGTACTGTGATTTTCAAATAATGAATAAAATATGTCTAAACATATTAATATATTATACACACACATAGAGTTTTGACGTTGGTCGCATTTGATCTGTTTAACAGTATACAGTATGTCTGTTAGTATAAATATTTTGTTTTAAATGTGCACGGTGCATTTTAAGTGAAACGGACGATAGTGATGTTTTGTTTAATGTCCAGTCAAAGGCAATAATTCCCCTCAAAAAAACCAAGCACTGAAAAAAAAAGAGATCCACTACCAATAAATTACTGAATATTATTATACGCTATGAGTAGCTACAATACAATATATAAACTAGTATTTACCTATTACTTACAGACACTTGAGTTGTCATATTATTTGAGTTTTATGAATTGTTCTAGAGGTATATGGACATTGGGCACCCATTAAAAAGTTTAATTGTGTGTATCTATATAGAGAAAACATTAATATTTAATAATCCAATTCCCACACAAAGTAAAGATAAGCTGCAGGTACATATAACATAGTTATTAGTTAGTTAAACATACCTATAATATGTTCACAATATAAAATTATGACGTGTTGTATATTTACGTACCTATCATTTTAAATTCAATTTTTTTTTCCAATTATTCATATGACAATCATATTATATATTATAAAATGTTGAACCGAAACAACGCTTTGGTTTTAGGGATAGAGTTGTCCAATCATATATTTTCTGATTTTGCTGTGCTAAAATCACGTCAACAGTATAACTCGTTCAAAAGTTTCCATTATAGACACAAAGTATATTTATGTAATCATTATAATATTTTCTAATTGTTTTTTTTTTGAATCGCACGATCGTCGGTTATCTTATAGCTCTCTCGCGTAGTGTCGGTGGTGTGTGGACGGTGGGTAGAATTTGTATCCGATTCGTCACCCCGAGTGGTGACGGCGTTATGGCATGACTACATCGTTGTTTGCGATGCGACTCAATCGAATTACGTCGTTTATTAATTTATTGTGATATTTTTCTTTCGCCTTTACAGCAACAGACAGCCGGTCTGATCGGCAGCCACAACCAGGTCGCTCCAGGACTGAACCATTTATCGCAGCATCCCCAGGGCGGACTTCCCCCGTCACCGCAGCAGTCACAGCCCCCGACGCCACCGGCCAATGTTTCATCATACGTGAGTACCATAGCTATAATATTATATAGGTGCCCGAGTATACCTATGTGTAGTGTACATGATAATGATGTGTTGAAAAGTCGAGTTTCTATGGCGGGCAACAGTGAGTTGCATATTGTTGGATCGTCGGCGACGTGCAACACAATATTATCGTCGGGATTCTCAAAGATAGGCGTTTTTCGTTTTCACCAAGGCGTCCGATTTCCGGATCGGAAACGCGGGAAGTGGGTTGATAGTAACAGTGGTGGGGTGGGGCGGGGATGGAAGGGAAGATGTGTCCTAACGCATCGTAAATAATTATCGACGGACGCGAACCAGTTGAGTCGAGCAACAAGTGTACATTGACCGAATACCCACGGCGATGACGAGAATAATGATAACAAAAACAATAATATCTAATATTACAAGTCCTACACGAGTATGATAATAATAATATGTACATTCTTGTGGCCGTACGATTTATGTGGATATTTCATTACGTAATGAGTTTGCTCGTACATCACGCGGTGCCGTACGAGTGATTGATAATGATCAATCGCGGGCCCAACGGGGGATGTTATAATCTTTTACCCGATAAGGATAATATTATATTGGTACAATAAATACGACCGGTCGAGATGACGTGTAAAAATATCGGATTCGATGATTTATCGGATTAATAACGAGAATATTCACGAGGCGCGTTTCCGTTCGTTCGTATCGTGACAAACACTGCTGCAGTAGTTTCCGACCCGACAGCCCACCCAATAAAGTCGCTTCTCTGGAACTCGCTAAAATACGATTTCGGTATTCCTTGCTAATCAGATTTTCTTGTATATACACACCCCTTTACCCAAAGGAGTTTCGAAATGTTTTTCAATGGCAAAACGTTCGCGTGATGATGATAATAATAATAATAATACAGGTTTTCCTCAGGATTTTGTAATGTTTTCCACTCGAACGCTTCGTCGTCACTTCTTATCTGCACACTCGTAATCGTCTCGCTGAACTGCGCCTCTCCTGATAACGTGACGTTTTTATAATGCGACGAACACATTATCGCTAAAATGATTAGTGGTGGAAAACGGTGGCTTTAAAATGCAAAATTCGGAGGGGAAATAGTCGGCCGGGTTTTGTATCGTTTCGTATTAATAATAAAATCGTGAAAAATGTCGCGCGTGTCAAATGTTCTAAAAAGTAGCTAGGCAATAATTTAATATCGTTATTTACATGAAAAACATAAACTAAAACGTCAAATTATATTATTACAGTGTTATAATATAATGTACGGTTTTCGTTGGGCTGTAGGGTCCGTGCGAGACGGTCGCCATGTAACAATTTATACATATTATATCGATCTATGTACGCAGATATAGTACCTACTTTAATAAGTCGAGGGGACCCGAGGACAGTAATTGAATTCCCGTTTGTTTGTTGTCGAATAAAATCAATACGAATGTAATTATATGTACACAAATTTCGTTTTTAATTTAAAGTCCACTCCTATAAATATAATATTGTATATACACCACTGAGTGTCGTCTGTGCGGGGACTGGGGAGTCAATACTCTATACCATTATATAACATGTGATGAGGAGTATACGACAATCGACAATAACGCATTACACTTCAACTGGATTTTTATCGAGCGCCTTTCTATCCAGCCAAATTCGATTTGTAGCAAACGACCCCCTGTTCCCCGCAGCCGTCCCGAAGTTAGGTTCATCTTAGTTCTCTATATAATTTTCAATAGAGCAGAGGTATAGTGAAACGGTTTTTAGATGGTTTACGTAGGCAATGCGGGAAAAGCTCTAGCGATCGAGAAACAGACAAAATATTGTAGTACGAAATCGCCGAACCACCTGCCACCACATAATTATTATTGTGCCACGTGTGTCCTGAAACGGCGTCATCGACGAGGCTTAAATTATAATGTTTTGTATCGTTTTCCAGTGGCCGTGGTGTTTCAACCCGACGCAAAACAGCCATTAGCCGGTGTCTCGCCGACACCAGCTCAGTAGCAGTCGGTCGACGTGTGCATACGAAACGGATGCGGCAACGACGTCGTATGTCTCGCACCGGAAGCCGGATGGGACGACGAGTATAATCGCGGTTACGAGTGTCGGCACCAACACTGCAAGTAAGTCCGAATTTGTATTTTATGTCGAGGCGGCGGTGTCACATGAGTGTGGCGTAACCTCGACTGTAAATACATCGATGTGTCGTTGGTTAGTTGTTTTTTGTCTGAGTCCCAATATAGGACGAATCGAGTCCCGGGTTGTCTTGAGACACGCGCTAATTATTGAGTCACCTGAAATTTAAAATATAATACTAGTCAAATCGATAACTGAGTTCCGTCAAACTACAAAAAACAAAAACTTCCATCTTCCCACATTTTTACACACTTAGGACTGTCCGTAACGAGAAATTCGATTAATTTGTGTAATGCATTATGAATAATTCAGTTCCTCGAAATATTATAATAGTTCAAACAATTGTATTAATGTAATATTATTATATTGATATTATCACGTAGTGACCTCGGTACGCGTATATAATACTGACGGTTTTATATCATACCTACTCCAAATAATCGTAGGACTCAGTTAGTATATTTTTCGATTTCCAATTCTCCGGACTCGATTGGCATTTTTTGTTCGTTTATAATATAGGTACTCTTTAGAGTCAATATAACAATAAGTGTATTATTATTTTCCAGTTCAGGTATGAGGAGGACTAAATTAGTATGCACCATTTCTGTTTATGTTCAGAGAGTGTTTGAGATTTCGAGATAAATTGTGAGACCGATAAAAAGTGTTCGTTTTGAAAAACCGATTGAATAGCACTGGAGCACTAGGTCATTATTGCAGCGAAATCCTTTTTTTTTCGTTTTACAATATTACATCACAACATAATAATAGTCAAACGACAGACGTAGCGTAAAATCGTTATATTATTCCAACGTACAAAGAGTAAGTTTCCGGAAATCCGTAGTGATCACCGCAACAGTTTCTGCTATTGTACAGGTGGGTGAGGGTTAAAAAATAGGTAGGAGGTACCCACGATATGGGTTACACTTTCGGCGGTCGAATGCAGAAATCGGATAGGAAATGAAATATTCGTTTGCATATCACCATAACAATATAGTCTAAATGAAAACGACAGTTATATTTTTTGTGTTTGACGGAAATGTGACCATTGACACCCAACGGACCTTTTCGGTAAATGTCAACTATTGCTGCCACGCGAGTATAACACACGTTGTCCGTCTCGACTCTTTTTTACGCCACTCTCTGCTCCTACACGTGTCGTCGGCGATATCTTTTAGATTGTAATGCAATCAATGTGATTGTTTTCTAATAACGTTTGTTTCGTTTTACAGGATTACGGTGAACGACTGGTCTTAAGGGCGCTAAAGAGGCCATAAACCAAACGCCCAAAGTCGATCATCCTCCTCGTCCTCTTCCGGAAAACCAGGAGACCTGAAGACCGCTGTCTGTCCCTTGTATATTATACGATTATTATTATATATTAATTATTACATTGTATTATATTATTATTATTATTATTATTATTACAATTATTATTACGTATGTAAATCCCTGTGACTACGAGTATCTCATATTATAATGCTTGTGAATATTTATATTTATAAGATAAAAATAATATGATAATTGATAATATTATTATATTTAACGCGTACTATAATATGATATTATTATTACATACATAAATATAATATATACTGCAGTTTGTACATATATATATGTATTTTTTTTTTTGTTGCGATAATATCATTGAATCATAATGAATGTAAAGAAGAATGTCGTATTTAAGCAATAAATTTGCTCCTGTAAATGTAAGCAATGTCTCTCGCGACAATCCCAATGCTGTTTTTGTGCACATAATAAATATAAACATAATATTATTAATATTGTTAAAATGAACTACTATTTTTTAACGTTTAAACCGTTTTTTTATGTTAAAGCATTAAGTTTTTTTTTTTTTTAATGTAAATAATATTTACAATTTTGTTTTGTATTATATATTAAATACAATATAATATGACCTAAACCGTACAAGCGATATGGCCAAGTTCACGTTAGTCTTGTCTTACATATTATTATTTACCATACAACCATTGGTAACTAGTACCACGGTAAATAAAGTATTCATGTCAATCGTGCACTGTAAATTGTCACGTGTTTAAGTTATGAAGTGTTATGATACCTACTAAAGGACATTTAAAATGTAAAAAATAATAGCTAGGTACTCATATCATTGTGAAATTATATTATTTTTTATTCAAGTATTAACATTATTGCCTAATATTTATTTTTGTTTTATTTTTATTTTATTATTTAGCCAAATTGAAAATTTTAAAGTTGTTATTATACTGAATATTTTTTCTCTTTTGTTTATTTTTAAGTAGGTATGATTTTATACTTTGTACATAAATGATTAAGAACGCTCATGTTATCTGTTGTTTTTCAATCTGTTTATATAGTATATAAATAAAATGTAAACGATTAAAAATGAAAAATGAAAAATAAAAAATGTAATTAAATAGTAGAAAATAATTGCTAGTTTTGTAATTTAATTATCTATCCGAACCGGTTGTAACCGATTCGTTGTCGTTTTTTTTTTTTTTTACAAACGATGGTGTCAATGACTAGATACTATTTAATATTTATTATTATTATATAATGATTACACTTGAGGTAATATAATAATTTATCTACGACAGTGTTGAATTATATGTTTAACGAGTGGTTAAAACCAAATTATATTCTGGGTAAATCAGTTATTTTCAAAGAGCAAGAATGGAGTCGGAGTGATTAAAACTAATCAGACATTTTTAACGAGCATATCTTTGATAATATGATCAACGTTTTTCAATTAATCCTGACTGTATAGGAGTTTTGGGAAACAAATCAAAATTAATTATTAAAAAAATATATATATCTTATTCAAATGTTACATATCGTATTGTCATATAAACTAATATTTTTATTTAAAAATATCTAGTCGTGAGACTTAACGATCTATGAGAAATAATGGTTACAGACATATTATTAATTGTTAGCATGTCCAACAATTATAATTGTTTTTGATTATATAACTTATTATATTTCTGATTTTTGAATTACCGGTATGGCGTACATATCCACACACGTTTAGTTTTTCTACACTTACATGATATATTTAACCTTCTCAATATGAAGAATTCTCTTAATTCTCTAATAATGAAGATTTGAATATTTATTATTTTATAAATTCAGCACATTGACACATGACTATCAGTAAAATAATAAATACTTTACTGACAGTCATTAATAATTTTGAATCATCATTTAATTCAATCACAGCTCATTACTATACTTTCGATGAGAATTTGAGAATTTTCCGTACATGGAACAGTTTTTTCAGTATCTCAAATGTCCACTTACCCAATTGTTCTGTTGTGACACACACAACAGTATAATATTATGCAACCACACACATTGAAATGATTGGAAACTTAATGCCTTTATAAAATGCACATGAGATCTATTTTTATGACGAAAAAACAATATAATAATAACAATAATAATTTTTAATTATTATTTTTGTATAAAAATAATGTGCATAGTGTCACGTATGAGCTTACATAAATTTAATTTGTATTAAATACATACATGAGATTCAACTACTATTTAAGAGTTTAGATTCCTCATTAGTTGTAAACATTGTGAGGTATTACACTATTACCTCCGATGTTTTGAACTAAATTCAAGTTAAAATAATAATAATGGTGATGATGAAAGTAATATAATAATGAGATTTCCGTCTTTGTTGTATGCCTTTTGTTAGTAACTATTGTTAGTTTCCCGAAACAGTACTTAGGTTTTTGTACTGTAGATTTTCAAATATTGTTTAGTAGTAAATAATAAGCAGTTAAAATTTGTTTTAGTAGATTATTACTTTCCATATATTATTCTTATTATATTTTGTTGTTGTTCAATTTTTAATTAAAATAGCTTTTTTAAATTAAAGTTTCGTCATGGATAATAAGATATTTTTACTATTAATTCTTATTAACATTTTAATTAATCACCATTATTATAAAATTTTATTTACATTATTTAAAACTTTAAAACTAATAAATAATTATTTATTTATTATAGGAAAAACATTCCTGACTTATTTACAATCATTATCAGTGGATATTTTATATTATATGTTATACTATAGCTGATCCTGCGTTGGCCTTTGTGTTACCCACCCTCTTAATGTACTCCGTTAAATGTAAGCTGCATATATTTTTAACACATTAATTTTGGATAGTTTCGACCATATATGTAAAATACAGGTAAAATACATTAGGTTATTAATAAAGTGTTATATAGTTTTTGGATCTATAAATCACAACCACACACGGATTGTCTTTCATTCAAGAATGACAGAATACAATATTAAAATGTGTATTGTTACAATGTGATATATTTTAGTTCTGATGTTTTGTAGAGGAATAATGTGAATTTCGTTATTGTAGTATTGAGTAGGTATAACATATATAACTTGACTGATATAAGTTTATAAAACGATCTCAACCATTTTACACTTCTAAAATAAGCACTTGAATATGCTTCCGTCGATATTAAGCACGGTGTATACTGTATACATCATATTATATTGACAGAATCGACCAAAAAATTTGACTTTTGTTTGAGATGATGTCTTACCGTTGACCCACACTATAGTGTGTGACTGTCAATATTTTGTAAAATATGTAATTACAGTCAATCATAACAATGAACTTATAAATAAATTATAATTTTATAAGCATATGTGTTCAATTTAAAAATGTTCTGTGATGCCATTCTCAATATTTGTACAGTGTACATGTGTAAAGGTTAAGGCGACTAACAAAGTATTATGACGTGCTTTATATTAAACGTAGGTATTTGTACATTTTCGTCATAAGAAATATTAAAGCTTATAAACCTGTAAAATCCTATTAAGTTATGTTTGAACTTTATAATCGTTCATTTTCGTTTGTACCTAAAGAATAACCTAATATACATATTTATATTGCATTTAATATAAACAAAATATTATAAATAGTAAGTAATAAATTGTCTTCTGTCAAAAGAATATAAATCATAAGTTAAAAAAAAATTGGCATACTATAATATTGTTATTATTATACTGAGGAAATTAATAATATTATCAAATTCTATTTTTCCGCCAACGGTGGTGAATATGTTCACTTGAGTAGTAATTCACTAAAGGACTTGTCGTTCTGCATAATTCAAGTACAAGTTACTGTTGTATTTTAAAAATATTTCTCTACATGAGTTTCTGTACCTGTACTCAAACAGACAACAAGATGAAATCTGCACAAACTTTATTTACATCATAATACCTAATATATCATAAAGTTGTGATTAGATTGTTATCCTGGAGGAGTTTTAGAAATGACTGTAAATTTAACTGAAACTTTTCCACATCAGTATTGAAATTACTCGGAAATCACATAATTTATGTCAATATACGAATTTCAATCTATTCAAAATTTTATTTATACTCTAGGGGACATTATTTGTGTTTGCTGTTGTCAAAAACATTACTTCTGCTGTACCTATAGAGGTAGGTACATAAATAAATCATAGCATACATTCTGTAAACATTAAAACCTTTGTTTGTCATAATCCCTGGTCAATTGAATATAGTTAGTACTTAGTTGTGATCAAGCTTTGCTCTATTCAGTATTAAGTTTCAATGAATATTGACCTATGTTATAACTTATGCACCAGCTGTATGTAAAATACTAAAATGTGCTTCAATAAATATAATATGAGATAATTCAAGTGTGTGGTCTTGGATATATCCAGCTGGGTTGTATGTTTATTTAAATAAATTACTTTTTACAACTGCAGAACTATTGATTGAAAAAAAAATCATTTTTGGAATATAGAATTTTTGTTTTTTTTTTTATTTTACATTATCGATATTTTTACCTAATAGACTTATCATATAATTTTATGTCTTAAAAACATATTATGAACATATTTGACATTAATAATATTATATGATATGTCACTGTGTCAAATATTCTTATATTATTCAGCATAGGCGCAAATAGGGGGGGGGGGGCTTAGGGGGTATTAGCACCCCCAATTTTAAAATTAGCACCATCTAATAAATATGTGTTTATGTATCAAACCTTCTCTTTACAAAAAAAAAAAAACCAAAAACAGTTTATCATCAGACATGAGGGTATCAGAGTATAATGAATGAAACAATGAACTCGACAATTGTAATTTTATCGAATCCAAATCTATTTAGAATATAAATCATTATTTTCCAATGTTTCTACTAAGCCCGGTCGTTGTGGTCGGTTATATTATTATCAGTGTTATCACGTTCAGCAGCGACTCAGCTCTACGACAATTTATAGTATCGCGAGTATTTACTAATAGAAACATTCCCGTGCCCACATCTAATTCGGACAAAAACCTCATTACGATATACGAATAACTTGTCAGTAGGTGTTCACTGGAGTTCCAAGTTTCCGACAGCCTGTGTGATTGTGTATGCCGAATGATATAATATAGTAGGTACAGATATAACTGACTTTTGGAATAACTTTTGTTCTAATCAATATTTATAATGTTTTTTTTATAATTTTAACAATTTTTGTCACACATTTAAGTACCTTCATTTTTTTTTTTTTTGTCAAGTCTGTCTGTTACACGTCTTGTACACTAATATTTATTTGTCATATTTTTTGAATAAAATATAAATAATTTGTTTTAAATTTTTAATAAATTAAAATTTACTATTGTATTAATTTTTATAAAATGTACCTAATGCACTATAACTATTCAATGTTAAATTGTCATAAAACCATTTTTTCTCAAAAAAGTCATAAGTGCCTCATAGGTATAATTTAATTTAAATACCCAGGAAATGCAGAGCTTAAGCACCCTCAGTTTTTATGTTGAAATTGCGCCTATGTTATTCAGTAATATTTTAAGTTAACATTACTTAAAGTAATTAATAATCAATATTATTGCAGTTACAATTTTATAGATTATATGTTATGTATGAATATGAATGTGTCCAGGAGATGTTTTATATCTGAATTTTTTTTATTTATTGACACGTAACACAGAGGACATGGTACTGTAATATATTTTTGTAAATTTCGCTAAGATATTTTTAGCCAATTTATTTTGTTTTGAAACAATATTTCGTTAGAAAAACTATAATAATTGGCACGATATGCAATTGTATGGATTGCAGAAAGCACAAGTTTACAGTAATATCAACGTCAAGTAATAATTCAGTTTATTAACAAAAACTCAATAATTTCGTTTCTTATTTCACAATGATCTTATTCGTTAAAATGCATTAATAAAAAATAATGTTTATACAAAAGAACTCGTACCTGTACAATATTAATGGAAACAATAGACTAAAAATATAACCATGGACATTAATACCTAATAATTATTTTAATATAAATATATATATATATAACCGTTATTAAACAATATGGTTGAACAACAAAGGGATAATATCCAAATATTCAAAATAATAATAATAATCGTAAAATGTCGCTATTTGTTTAGGGTTCCGTAGGAGGTTATAAACATATTCTGATTGCCAGAGACTATATAAATTTTAAACTATTTTCTTATGAACAATAGTAATATAATAACATAAACAGTGGCCTGTTATGTAGGATTACGGAAAACATGCATGTTTAGAATATTGTATAATTAATATTATTGTTTAATAATAATTGTATGATATATATATATAAGATGAGATTTACTAAAAGGTCTAATCGGATAACAATAATGGCGTACATTTTTTGTGAGTGTTTTCCGTTTTTGATGGAATATGTCTTTCCTCGTCCTTAAGATTTCGTATATTATGAGTCTCGACAAATTATAATATAATGTAATACAATAATAGGTGTGTAAGCTTATGTGGAAAAAAAAAACATTCAATAAAACGGCTGACAAATAGTAGGTATACCTACGGAAGGTATGTATTTAATTTGTAACAATAGTAAATTATACAGTATAATATTATACATATATTATATATAAAAAAAAAATACATAAATATGTACATTGTACACACATTAATTTTTTACTATTCACATACGATAATAATATTATATTATATGGTAATAATAATGTACATACGAATTGGCGAGCACACAAAATATCGTTTTATATTTTTATTATGAGGTTTTGGTAACTCTTATGTATAGGTACCCCATTACAACAAATTAATATGATAGTAATAATAATATGTCAGAGGTCGTTCCGCGGTTGACAGATGAGTTTAAATAATAACACTAGTAAATACTCATTACCTACCTATCAAATCGTTATCGTTTTACTAAATATTATTTTATTAGTTGTCCCAAGTGATTTATAGATATTTTCGAGAAGAAAATTCAAAAAAATCGATCGACTAGAAACGGTGTTTGTCGGAGAGTGCATTGTGTTGTTACAAATAATTGTTATAATATCATATAAGCTTCTAATAGGAACAGCGTTGTACTGCATGTTTCAAAGGAAATTTTTATGACGACAGTTTTGATGATGGGTACCTTGTAAAGCTTTAGTAAAAAACCATTTCCCGAAATGTTATCTCACCGCAGCGACCAATGCACCAACCTCCTCGGTCAACACAATATTATTACCAAGATATTATTATAATATGTTTGTTATCGACATTTTGTCTATTGGCAAATTTTTAAAATCATCTCGCAAAGAGTTTGGCTTTCAATAATATTTTACTGTTGTGGAAACATTTTAAAAAAGCCATCAAGAATAACATTATTTTTTATAGGGAGTCGGTGACCCGAAACTCATCGGTCTTCCGGCGGAACATCGATAATATCAACATTATAGTATTGTTACATTATAATATCTTGTATTTATTTATTTTTCGGTCGCAATTGACTTCGATAGGGGACTTATTATTGGGACCACAAGTGTACACCATTAACAGTGGCAGTACCGCTCTTACATAGTATAATTTTTCTAATGCATTCTATCGTTACAACATCAATACATACGTTTAATATTTTATCTTACAACATTAAATAATATTAGGCATTTTAGTATTTAATCAATATTTCACTTTTATTATGAGCAATGTTCGATGAACGACTCAGGTGAAGGCGTTTTCCTTTTTCCAATGACGTTGTTATCCCGACAAAAATATTACTTTGCGTGCGTATAACAATACTGCATTATGTAATACTTTATTATATTATATCGTATCCAGTTGGAGAGAACTTAATTTGCATCGGTTCGGGACAAATCATATTTTTTTCCATTTTATTTATAAACTTTTTCGATATGCATAATAATAAGATCCAAATGAAATAAATTATTTGTTTGTTCTTGTCTCGTGTCGGTAAACTTTTAAGAAAAAGTAAATTCTGTATCAGGTTTGGCCACACAGAGTTACAAACTTTATTCCGGCACGGTGGCACGTAGTTTTTCTCTGGTTTTTTAGTACCTACATCCGTCACATTTTGTACAAAACGGTTGAAACCAGCAATCATCGAATTCGATTTTAAAATTTTGAAAATGTACACTTTTGGTAAAATTACAATTTAATAGTTCGGCAACGAGGAATTCTGGCAACTTTTGTATTCAAACACTATTTTGAACTGTTACATAAACTTACATCCCTTATGTGCAATGTAACATATTATCTCTAAAATTGTGGGACTTTGACGATGAAAAAAACGGTTGATAAATATAAGTACCACTTGAGACCGATTTCGAGTTAAGAAGTTTTCCATTTTAATGAATTGTGGAGAAGTACAACACGCTTCACTAGAAGTGTAAGATTAATTTTGCAAGCACGTTAGAGGCTATACTGATGACGTAAATCCGTCTACAACTGTTGTATATGCGCAATATTATTCACGAGGTTTCCGTTTAATTAGAACTTATTTATTTATATTTTTGATCGATACAATAATTATTGTATACACGTTTCAGTGATATCGTCGGGTTGCCGGAAAATCAATATCGTCATTGGAAAACGGAAATTTTGATCAAAACGCATAAAAGCGCAACGTGTAAAAAAAAACAGTAATTATTAAACAATTTCATCATAATTTTTGGTAACTAAAATTATTAACGACCAACGGAATAACAATAATAATAATACTAACAATATTTCACATGAACAAAAAACCAACACAACAATGACCGTTATAAAAATATCGATCTCAAACAATAATAATAATAATAATAATAATACAAATAATAGTAATAATTTCAACGATAGTACTTAATGTAAGTTTGAGGACGAGGACGTTGACGGTGAGAGGGATGACGCATAGGAGGAGGGGTGGTTTCATGGAGGAACCGAAGAAATATTTGTTTTACAGATATAATACAATGTCGTTATCGTTATCAATTACAATATGTAATAATATATAATATTATTATAATAATATGTACAGAGACATCTCTAGTGGGTGTCGTTTCGTGTGTGCACTTTCGCACTTTCGCACTTTAGCAACGCGTCGAACATTAAGTAATGTCATAAGTAGAACAAGTCGCCGCCGCCGCCGCCGCCGCCGCCGCCGCCATCACCATCTCCGTCGCCGGCGCCAGACGACTCGCGGAGTTGGTCGCATATCCTGGTCAGGTCGTTGGCCAACCGGTCGATCTCCGTGTCCGACGACCGGCGGTGGCCGCGGTTCGACTGTCACACGTGCAGTTCCTCGACGGCCACCGCCTTGGTGCACGGTTCCGTGGCCGCGTCCATGGCCAGGCTGGACGAAGACGCGTGGGGGGGATGCTGGTGTTGCGGTGGCGGCTGCGCGGCACCGGCGCCGGCGGCCACAGGGCCGGAACACGTGCAGGCCGGCAGCGTGGACGAGGCGGCCGCGTGTCTCCTGATCGTCCCGTGAAGGTGCTGCTGGTGGTGATGGCCGCCGCCGCCGTGGTGATGGTGATGGTGATCCGGCCGCGGGCACTTTGGCGGCGGCGGGGGCCGGGGCAGCGTGGACGCGGCCCCGATGCCCACGATGCTGCCACTCGGGTGATAGCACTGGGCCGCGACGTCGGCGAACTCGGCGGGCGGGGGTTGCGCGGCCCCCCTGGACATACCGGCCGCGGCCACGGGCCCGCACACACCTGCACCCTGGTCGGTGGGAGACTGCGGTCCGTTCGGGGCGACCACAGTGGTCACAGGTACTGGCGGTTTTTTCAGTATTGAGTGAGGTTGTTGGTGCTGCTGTTGGTGCTGGTGCTGCAGGTGTTGCGTCACCGGCCGCGTCTCCATCATTTGCAGCAACTCAGTGGCTCCTAGAACATGACATTTTATAAACAATTAATACTGTTTTATACATTTTTATTTGTACAATCTTATAAATTTTATAAATTTTGTTGTTATAGCTAAAATTACCTTGGGTACCGAGTCAGGTAAAGGGGTACTTGGCGCATATACCTGACTGTTATGACATTTTCTTTATAATACATTTTAATGTGAAAAAGTTGAGATTTTTCGCTCAAGAGAATAAGTGATTCAAACCAGGGCATGAAATCAAAAATAAAGATTTTGATTTTAGTTTCGATTTCACATATTGATATTTGTGTTTGCTGATTTAAATTCAAAAATTGATTTTTATTTAGACTTTGAACATGATGTTCTTTTTTTTTTGATTTAAAATATTAATTTTACATTTTTAGATTTTAACTTTGATTTCTTACTAAGAGAACCTTATAATCTCTGTGTAATAATCCTAATAAAACGAAATAAGTATTAGTTATTTATTATTATATAATATTTGTATAATATTATAAAAAGCACAAGACGATTATTATTTTAGTATAAATTATCAATAAAATTTTTTTCAATTTCAATATCACAAAAAAAAATTTGATTTTGATATTGATTTCAAGCCCTGATTCAAACATTATCCCTCTGTTGGTATATTTTTAAAAACGTGCTATTTTATAGATTAGAATGAAAAAATCCGAATACAGCCTCTTTTCACCACCCATGTTTAAAGAAATGATCGTAGCGGTAGCCAGACTTAGGTATCTTAATTTTCCTCGATCCCGTTTATTGCATTCATACTTAATCAGATTTACACTATCGTTATCAGCACTGGATTGGTATTATTATGTGATTTACGCAATCGAATTAAAAAAATGGAGTTCTGTAAAATAACTTAATTTTAGTTTTTCAAGTTATTTCTACCTAACTGTGTATTTAGTAATAATTATCACTGTCATTCGTCAGCGCGTATCGAATTTTCTGATTCGAGTTTGTGAAGTCTGATGAATTAGTTTATTTGATAAATCTAAAGTTGTTTTTTTGAGGTTATGCGGGTTCAAATGAACGATCTTTGGGTACCGAATGGTTCATTCCTTTTGAAGTGGATTAAATTTTTAACAAACAGGAACTATTTACGGTATTATATTACAATCGCGATGATATCCGAATATCCGGTAACGCTGATGATTTCAAATTTTAAACAAAGAGTAAATCAAACGGACCTACCCGGAAATACTTCAGCTTTGGATTATTGAAATCCGGCGGACGATGATTTTATATTATACCTATATTTTCCTGGGCACTACTGTTTTGTTCGGTATTTTATAAATCACTGTCATATTATATACGGATACATGGATCCGATAATAATTTAATGAAATTAAATAAAAACAACGTGAAAACGGGGTAGGATATTATATTATAATACATACACCACATAATATATATTGTATTATATAATGTTACAATGTATAATATGTATGTATTATATTTTATATTTCTACAATGTGACAAAAATGATATCATACAATGTGTTTCCTAGGTATTTCAAAACGATAATTTTGCAATACGATTGCGGAAAAATTACTACCGTGTTGGAAGTATTGTCACAATTTATTATTAATAACGGTTGTCAGTAAATAAGTTTGATATAAAAATAATATTATTTTGGCAATCATATGATTAAAATACAAGATGGTAAACCCATAAATCCATTACGGATACGTTTTAAAAGATGAAAAACTATGATTTTCCTCTCGTTCATTCAATCATAGACGTGATTGTTGCTTAGGAATAACGTGGATGGAAAGGAGTAAAATATTTTTTTATTGTAATAGATCATGACGAAGTATATAGTGATCACAATCCCATGCAGTAGAGTACGCAGGATTTTAATTCGGTTAGGGTTGTACATGAGTAAATAATTAACATTATTTTAGGCTAAACAGTTTTTATATTATAATTGGTTATAAAAAATTATAGTTAGTCTCAAATGTAGTCTACATTTAGAACACTCGAGTGTTTAACCTGGGCACCTGGTCATCTATAATAGAGCCTCATCGGGTCGTAATAAACGTGATAATAATCGATGGACGATGATACACCATACGACGATTATGGCAGGCGTTTAGTAATGTTCTAAATTAGCAAAAAACTATGGTTAGGTATCGACGTTTTTCTCAATCGTCCTATTTAACAATTTATTTTATATCTATTAAAAATGACATACCATTACCGATGAACTCTGTGTATTGAAATTGTGGTAAATAAGATTTTTTTGTAAAGGGAAGACATTTCAGGAGGATTCAGAACCCTAGAACTCTACCCCTGCGTACGCCACTGATCCTATGTGTTATTTAACGAGGTTGAGTGGTCCTGTTCTCAAAACTAATCTACGGCGTTATAATCTGTGGTTGTCCGAGTGTAGTTGCAGTCGCTTTCCACGAAGTGTTTATAATACGATATCATACGAAAACTCGTAGGTCAATGTCTGCTAAGCCTATAGTGTTGGAAAGGGAATTATTAAGTAGAGGAGCTCAATCCAACGGTTTAAAAACTGAGTTCCATGTGCACAACTATTTAAGGCAGACATGCGGAAGCCTTTATCCTCCCACCCCAACCTTTTTATAAATATAATAAAAATAGTAGAGGAGCCTCGTCCCCCTTCGCACCCTCTTTCCACAATTCGAGCATCCTTGGCTGAACCCGTAGACCACACCCGGATCCGTTAGTTAAAACCAATAACATCATAAACATACGTCATCATATCGTATTATAATATTATCGTGATCTCTCACAAGTGTCAAACTAATATTATTACGAATAAACTTGTACCAAGTCTTACCATATTATAGTAACTTGGTCTGGTTTTTGATTTCAACGTTTTCGTTATATTGAATTGATATTATAATAATATTACGTCTTTACTGACATTTGCCGTCACCGCACCACCTCGCTTCGCCTTACTTATATATTGTATGCTCGGTCTATTAGTATTAGGTCTGTGATTAAACCACAGTCGGTGCAGGTATAAGTCGTATATACATGCCGTTTTCGTGAGTTCCAGGATATGGTCGGGCGAGTGCAGTTTATCGATCGGTGGATGAGATGACGATTCGTAAGGATATGAGTGAGATTAGTGTGTTTTACAGTTTAATATACATGGAGATCTCCACTGCGTCCTCAAGAATACGTCGTCGTCAAACTAAAAACCTGATCTCGGCACCACCCCACCTCGCCTTACTTATATATAGTATGCTCGGTCTATTAGTATTAGGTCTGTGGTTAAACCACAGTCGGTGCAGGTATAAGTCGTATATACATGCCGTTTTCGTGAGTTCCAGGATATGGTCGGGCGAGTGCAGTTTATCGATCGGTGGATGAGATGACGATTCGTAAGGATATGAGTGAGATTAGTGTGTTTTACAGTTTAATATACATGGAGATCTCCACTGCGTCCTCAAGAATACGTCGTCGTCAAACTAAAAACCTGATCTCGGCACCACCTCGCTTCGCCTTACTCATATATTATATGCTCGGTCTATTAGTATTAGGTATGTGGTTAAACCATAGTCGGTGTACTGGTGCAGGTATAAGTCGTATATAAATGACTTTTTCGTGAGTTCCGGGATATCGTAGGGCGAGTGCAGTATCATATCGGTCGGCGGATGAGATGACGATTCGTAAGGATATGAGTGAGATTAGTGTGTTTTACAGTTTAATATACATGGCGATCTCCACTGCGTCCTCAAGAATACGTCGACGTCAAACCAAAAACCGGATCTCGGCCCCGGAATAAAAAATAATTCTAATCGTACGAATAATGGTGATAATAATAATGATATTAAATCGTGTACATCGCGCGGGTTTCTGTTCGACGACTCCGGTGTTGCTGGTCGCTTTCCTTTTACCTATATTATATTCATATACAAACGGAACTGCTAAACTATAAATCTTGACGAAAGTTGGTTTATTTTTATTTTTACTTCGCATATATACGTATATATACTTTTTTAGTGGCTTCTACCTAACTCGACTAATTTATTATCTCGTATAAAAAGAAAAGAAAACGCTGCAGTGTGCTGTTAACTGTACACGTCATAGAGAGCGCACTAAACAAAATATATATGCGTGTTGTATACATATATATATGCACGTAATAAAAATAAAGAAATTGTTCTTCGTGAAATGAAATTTGTTCATATTATTATTATTATTTGCTCTGCGTATAAGAAACTCGCAAATTGTAATATTGTTGTTATACGGTGGCCGGGTCACAAATGTTAATTAGTGTACGCGTCAACGGATGTTATACCTCCACAATTATATTATTGTAATAAAGTATCGCATGTTTGAGAAAAAAAATAAAAATAAAATTAGCTTGTTAATTATTACTGTAATGGAATTTGTCGTACGATACCTTAATTTATTGTTTAAGGAAACTGGAAATTGTCGCGTATAAATTATGAAAAGAACTCGAGCCAATGCAGATAATACATTATAATTATATATTGTGTAGTCTTTAAAATTAATTTTAAAATTATTTAAATTTGCTTTCTCTCAACCGTCTAATGTTTGCATTTTATTTTTATTTATCATGTGGACAGTTAACTAAATATATCATTGCTTTTAAATTTTAATTAAATTAAAAAAAATGAAAAGTTTTATACCGAGACCCTCATAAATGTATTTGTTTTTCATTTAAATAAAATATAATGTACTTTTATCATTATTAGATTAATTTCTAGAAAATTGTGTGTTCCAGAAAATTAAAATTTTTGGATTGAACGAGTTTTTTAGTTTGGAACAAATGAAAAATATTCAGATTTAAATGAACTTGGTACCAATGCCACACATCGATGTTATATAGGCACCTACAACTTTTCAATTTTTTTCCACCAGGACTAGTGAATCGTCATTTTAAATCAGTAAGGTATCATCGTTATAAAAAACAATTTTAATGAAAATGGTATTTGTAGGTAGTTTTTATTTTCTAGTAACAACGGACATTGTTTTTAGTATGAAGTAAACCAATTGAATATTCCCATGACGGTTTGAGTAGGTTTTAATAGTTATATCTAAATAAATCACAGTAAAACCAATTATTTCAGTTTTGTCCTTACACCGAGAATATAAATTTTAAAATGTAATGCAAAACGAATTTAGTAAAACAGGAATTAACATGTTCAAATCAATAGAATGTGGTGGCCATTATTATTTAATTGTAATTAGTTAAAATATCTGTATGTTTGTAGGTAATATTTTTTTAACTTGAAAGATAATAAATGTAAAAAAAAACTAATATAAATCGAATCATTAATTGTATTTGATTCATAGTCGATTTAATCATTATATTTCTGATGTAATGTTTGTTTTATTTTGTTTTTTTGATAATATGTTTTGTTAGTACCTGCCTACAATCGTAAAACTCTGTATCTAAACACTTTTTTTAAATTGTAATAAAATTGTGCACACTTATTAAAAACTTTTATTATCAACTACTTTCACGTTTTCGTTCCAAATATCTCTATTTTGTCTTCCCTTAAAGAAGTCATAAAAGTAACGTTCGCTTTATCTATCGTTCGAAAAAAAAAAACACATTATGTTTTTATTTCTCTTTTATTATAAGCTTTAGGTTCTAACCGTTGTCTAGTTTTTAATGCTTTTTTTTTTATTTATTGTTATCATTATTATTATTTTTTTGGAAGTGTTCCAATTGGGTTATCAATTGATATAGGAGCATTATTATTATGATTTATGGAATTTAATTCTTGTGCATACAGTTGAATAATATTTGTATTCCTGAACTGTAACAAACAATAATATTATGTATCGACATAAATATAATATGCATGATTACCGCTGTATAATGTATATATTATATTTTAAAAGACCTATTAGTGCAAAAGTTTTAGTTTGTCCGTTATACATTAAAACTAAGAGTTCACTTTACGGAGACTGTGAATTTAAGTAATTTATCCCTATTTCCTCCCCAATGTTATTAAAGTACTTAAAAACGATGATAAAATATACTTATATTATCATACTCATCTTAAGCTATCTTACAATGACTGTTGTTTTTTTTTTTTTAAATGTCACAATGACTTTAACGTGACGTTCTTTTTATAACCTTTACAATTGTATTTTTTAGACACCTATAGTTTTTCGTGGTTGATAAAATGTTTATAGTCTCAGATGTCCGTTCCCCGTTAACATAATAATTATAAGAATAAAGAGTAATAATTTATGTGGGGGTCGCTAAAACGTCGCACTTGCATCGCCGTCGTCATCTTAGTCACTATTAAAAGATGAGAAGAGGATGAAAGCTCGAGAATCGCGCACGTAGATTTTTAAGGACGCAAGGTCTGATAGGTACCTAAGCTATTAAAAAAAAAGATAACGTAAACATGAAATAATGTCCAGCGGAGAGAAAAACGAGGGGCTTTGTCAAGATTTTTTTATTGGACAAAACGGTTAGAAAGACGAAATGGGCGAGGGATGAAATTATTAGGATAAGAGGGGTGGCGTCATAATAATATTTGGAGGTGTAAACAAGCAGCTTCTACAGTATATAAGACTCTCTATAGGGTATCGTTTTTAAAATTATAAACAAAAGATGAACCCAGTCGGCTGGTACTAAATTTAGAGATCGATAAGAATTATTCTCGATGCGTAAAAGCCGTTAAGTATCTCTGTGGTTCGACGCCTTATTGCCAGTATTGTAAAAAATACTTTCAAAATTGTATTTAAATGTAGATACAAATATATCAATTCAGAAAGTAATTAATGTTCATTCAAAATATTTTTACGAAAATGTACCTAAGGGTATCAGAGTCAGTGCGTTTTTAGTATGAAAACATGTCTTACAGGAAAAACTATCAAATGCAAGTATCAAGTACTAGAGAATGAAAGTAAATAAAAATTTTGAAATATTTTAATATTAATTAAACAATAAACGGTTGTTAATGAAATATGAAATAAATTAATATTCAAATAAATGTTTAATTATAAATAAAATAGTAGATGGGTATCAAAAATAAATCTAAATTATTTTGTATTTCTAAAAGTATTTGTTTTGCAAAAGCAAAAACGTCGAAGACAGTATTTAAAACAATTTACAAATACTTAATTTAAAAAAGTATTTAAATACATTTACCCAAATACTTTACAAGACTCCTTATTGACTTCTGTATGTGCTAAATATATATTATTGTTGAGCTTATTGATTCACCATAGTGCTCGGATATGTTTGAATGTTACTGCATATAGTGTGATGTAAATTTCAAGTTCTGCATTTTTTCAATTTTTACTTGAATATCAATATATAATAAATATATCTTTTTTAATAACTGTTATCTTATCGAAGAACATTATAATATAATCAGATATTATCTGCGCTATATATCGGCTGACGTATAAGAGGTGGTTGAAATTTAAAGTGATTTTTATTGTCATATTGGGCCTACTATCCTGACTATCCTGAAACAAATTTAGTTCTGGGAAATAAAATTCAACCATCAAAAAAATGTGTTTCTTATGTAAATTTAAAACGTTAATTTTTAATATAAAAATTCATTTTTACGACTGTTTTATTTGTATTGCATTAAATAGCCTATTGATCTACACTATTTGCATAATATATATTATGGTTTGGACACATAGTTGGGGTTTACCTCCTGTAGAACACAAATTAGTCATCGGACCTCCGTTTTCGGGACGCTTTTTGATCTTCCTGATCCGGTCGTCCTGCTGCTGCTGCAAGTCCTCGGCATCTCCTCCGGCGCCGGAAGTCCGCCGACTGCTGTTGCTGCTGCCCCGCCTGCCACCCCAACCGGCTGACTTGTTGCAGTAGATCACAGCAAAAATCATTATGTTGAGGAACAGCAGCGAACAGCCAATGCCTATGGCCACTGCCAAGGCCAACGGAAACGTCTGATACGCCGCACCGCCACCAACGCCACCACCTCCTAAGTCGTCCTGGCCATCGGAACCCGACGACGATCGACCACCACCTTCACCATCGTCTTTGTCACCATTAGGGCCGTTTTTAAGCTGCCGGCCTCCACTTCCACCACCACCGTCGTCATTATCGCCATCCCCGCGATCTGAAGACGAGGAAGACGCCACCACTACCGGTGGAGGCTGCAGCACGTTTGTCCCATTAGGCGTCCCGCCGTCGGAAGTCCCGGAAGTGGTCTTATTGCCAGTCGCGGGCTGTTGCATGGTGGCCGGCGGTTGACCCCGGTAGTATACGTCCGGTGCCGGTCTGCTGGTCGTTCTTTCGGAACCCTGCGATAAACGACAATTATTATTATTATCATAATTATTATTTCTTATACATATTATGATTCAATTTGAAGTCATGTAATCATTCTATTTGAAACAATTTTCAAATAATATGTGGAATACGGTCATAATATTTGGTGTAGTGAAATTGCCTATTCAAGACGCCGTGTTACCATAATCGATGCGCACAACAGAAACATGCATTTTATGAGAAACAATTTATCCATTTTTGTTACCAACACTGATACTAAAAATGACATAAGTCACATTGTATAAGTCTATACACCTTAATACTATATACACAAGTCACTCTTATACTAAGATTTAAGCGCTTTGTATTAATATTATATCTAATGTTTATACATTTGATTTTGAATTCAAAATGTATTTTATAATAAATACTTATGTAGAACATGGACAAATATCAAATAAAATTGAATAAAAATATATTTACAAAATATGTAAAATTATTCATATTAAGTATTATGTAGCTTCGTAAAAGACCTATAAAACATTTAACAATTGGATTTTTTTGGCGATGAGCATAAGTTTATTAAAAAAAAAAATTGCCAAACCGTGTTTACAATGTTTCAATTATCGAATAAGTACTTATTATTACCGATGATTGGTTATAATTATTAAGCGTTAAAATACTTAAAAAAATAAGTCAATACGTCAAATCTCTTTACAGTTATTAAACTTGATTTTATAGTCTAATTAGTATTTTCAAAATGTACTTCTGTTTTTATTTTGAAATATCCGGGTAAATTATACTATTACAACTATATTATTATTGAGATTAATGTACCTATTTGTTAAACCAATCAAAATTAATGATGCAAATATATGAATCCTTGGGTATAAAATTACAGCTAATTAAAATTAACCATTAGTATAATATAAGGTTGGAACTTTGTAATCACGTAAAAATGTGAACATTTATGATTTAAAAATTAAAATTAAAAGTAATCGTACCTTACGATTAATTTAAAATTTAAAATTTCATACTTTTGAGTATTGAATAAGTATTATATACATTTTTTGATTCTTAAATATTCGAATTTTTTTTTTTTATAATCCCAATTATTAAAAAACAATATAGCTTAGACAATCACAAAATAAGCAACTAGGAACAGACTTCGTTATTGTGATCGGTTGTTATATTATTTGGCATTTGATTTGCATACAAATACCATTCGACGTACTTTTTATAATGGACCAAGTTTATACTATAGTTTTATATAAAACATAAAACCAAGTTTACAGAAATAATGATTTAATTTTATCCGTAGAAAGGTTTGAACATATTTTCATTTGACGTACACGCATCAGTGCAAATTCAATTTTAAAGGTTGTTCATTAATCGATTCAAATTTTCTCAATGTTTCATTCAATAATTTATTTTAACCTCGATGCTTTTAATATTTTAAATTCAATTTGGTATAATATTCAATCCCTGTAAATATAATTTAAAAATGGTTACAGGTAAACGAAAATCCATGTTTAAAAAAATAGTAGTTTTTTTTTATAATTATTTGTTAATTAAGTTAATGTGGTATATAACGAATACGGTTTAATGTAGTTTAAATCCAGTAAATATACTGACTTAATTATGTATATTATAAATTACAATGTTGTTACCTGTTTTGTTTTTAAACATTTTATTTTTTTTTTATACAAAAACATTAAATTAGATTTATGAAATATTGTCGTAGTTATTAATAACAAAATGAATTCGTTTTAATAATAATAATTTTGTTGAAAATGTGATTTTCCATTTAAATAAGTTAATAATTGAAGTTTGAAATGAAATGTATTCACGGGTCCATAATAATCACAATTCGAACAATTTATGAATGTTAATGATTATATACGGTATTTTGTTTATTAACTTGTATATTCGGTAAAATACTTCTGGGTCTTTATTCAAAAGTAAGTTCACTTAACCCTAAGAATGTATGCCATTGAAGCTTACGAAACTAACTTTCACATTCAGTCGTTGCAAACATTTCTAAACAAACATAATTTACGACAAGTATATAAACCTTCTGTGGGACCTCTTATTATTTATAGTTCGAGATGGAGCGTTCGGCGGATTCATAATAATAAATTAGAGAAGCCGCAAAATTCTTAAAACTTTTGTGGCCGGTGGTGACTTAGGAAACGTCAACTCGTTTTTCTCAATTAATTTTCCTCCGACCGCCGCATACGTATTATAGGTGTATTGTGTTTTATTTTTTAATCGCAGAGACCGTTCGTTCTCGCACCGATCAAAAGGTTTCATAATCGTCGGGTGCGCACCGCCAGCACTGTAATATTTCGATATTTGTGCGTATACAGCCAGCGCCGAGGTAATAATTTATGGACGTTAATTATAAAAAAAAAAAAAAAAACCGTGGCGGAAAAAAAATCAATTTATTAATATTTTGCGCAGTCACCAGGTGTGCAGAAACGCCAAAGGTAATGCATTTCCTAATGCTCGATGTGGAATCGTCCGTTGGAGGAGTCGAGCTATTACCCGCCGCCCGGCAGATTAATCAATACACCGTTTCACGAGCGGACCGAAAGGAATAAGTGCCGAACTCGCAAACTCGCCAAAAAAAAAATTAAAGTTTATCGGCACATAATCGTCTAAAGTTTTTGTCACACGCATTATACTCGTCCCGTCCTCGACCATCGCTACATTTGCCGTCAGAAGAGATGACACTCACTATGGGATTATTTTCTTACGACAATCACGGCGGCGCTGTCGGCCGGAGAAGAACGTCTACAACAGTGTTTCCCAACCTTTTTACCACCACGGACCACTTTGACAATATTTTATAGGTCGCGGACCACCTCAATTTTACGCAAACTAGGAAGACCTTTTTTTTTTTTTTGCTCATTAACAAGAATACACAAAAATGTATTGGAAAATTTTTATTATCTTACTGTACTATTATTATATATAATTATTAAACTTTACTAATAATTTACTTAGTGTGATTTTTGTATACGATAAGATAACCGTATATTACGGTAAAATAAAATATTTTTCGCTGTTTAAAAAAAAAAATAATTTTTAATAGAAAACTAAGAAAGGTACCGCGGACCACCTATGACTGGGCCACGGACCACCGGTTGGGAAACACTGGTCTACAAGGTGATCCATTTAAGCGTTCCAATACAATCATTGATTCAAAAAGTTTTGACTATTTTGAAATCGTTGATTTCATTGAAATTTTATCGGTGTCACGGCAAAACAATATTATTGAAAAAAAAATATCCTTTTTACAATAATATATTGTTTATCGTTATTAGTTTTTACTTTTTCGGGATACAGCTTATTATAGATTTTAAATTTCCTATTCCAAAGCGGACATTTTTCGGAGTAGGTACTTCAATACATGAATAGAATAGCAAGTGAGTAGTTAGTTATAGTTAGAACTGGGTAGGTATTTAAAGTTTAGGCGTTCAACATTTTGCAACAGTTTAAACAATTATAACCAAAATTTTTTTTTTTTTAATTAGGTTGTCTAATCCAGGGCAAGGAATTAAGTAAAAAATAAATTTTCCAAAAATGTAAGACATTGAAATAATGAGAGTATTCACTTAAGTGGATCTCGATGTATGCCTATACAAACAACATATTTTTTTTTTAAGAGAATAAGAACAAGAAGAAGAAGATTGGAGAAAATAAGAACAGGAAGAAGAAGATTGGAAAAATAAGAAAATCGATCTTATTTTTCATTCACTCGGAAAATAAACAAAACACGAAGGTAATATGTGATGTGTACAATATCGCTCGAGTATGTGTAGGGTACGTCAAAAGATTTTTTGATTTTTTGACATCAGTTATGTGCGTTGAACAATAAAATAGTTGTTATCGTTCCTACGCAATAGAAGACCTCCATGCATTTCGGATGTATTTATTTCAATGGTATTTTTAAAATGATAGTGGCAGGGCACTTACTGGTTTAAACGTCATTCCTCGTAGATCGGATTGGAACATGTGATGATAATAAGGTACGTCGTCGCCGGGCTTGTGCAGCTCGGGAACTAAATTCAACCAAAACGACAGTCTATGGGCTCGGTAATGGCTTTTCAATTTGGGCTTCGTATCTGAAAATATATTCAATTATTGTACATTAACCGTGATGCGATTTACCCTGGTCGCATCGCACTCTATAATAATATTCTTACATCATATATTTATAACATATATTATTATAGATATACATCGTACATTATGTTTTAATAACGATCGTGTATAAAATTTCCAACCGACGATGTAACAACAATAATAATATATTATAATATTGTACTGTACCTAAACTCAAATATTTTTTATGTACGGTCTCGTACGCAGTCCATTCGATATTCTTAAACCGACCGTGTTCTTGTTTGTGCAACATGTCCTGGTCCTGCGGCTCATTCGGATTACTGGAAATTACGCAAAAGCATTACCATAAAGGGTTTTTTGTTATTGTGGTATATTCAAATGCATAATCCGTACATTATAATCGCTTACACATAAATATTTATTGGACACAGTTAATACTAAAATACCACAAAATTATTTGTATATAGGTATATTATATAAAAAAAAAAATATGGAAAACTGGAATTTTCACACAAAACCAGTTTTCGACAAAATCGATTTTCTTAGTTTGATACCGCAAACACTTGAAATTTTCATCAAAATATGTTTATATTATAATTTTATGTACATGGTATAATTTAAAAAAATACTTTGACTCTTTTTGCGTTATTTATTGGCATGAAGTACTTTTTAAGATAATCTGGAAAGAAATCGAACATTCGTTATTCTTGGTTGTTTTTTCTTTAAAGTATGTAGATAAAATTGTTCAAAATGCTTAAATATTTAATATAAGGTCCCCCCGCCATAAGTTATTAGATAAATTTAATAAAACAAGTTGACTGTAATTCTATTAATATTGTATACAAAATAAATAATAATAATAAGAACAATTAAATGAAACTACCTACCGTTATATTAATGGTACATTTATTAAATTATTTTATATCAAAATATATATCATAAAAAACATAAGATAAAATGAAAATTTGGTGTACGAGGAGAGCCTTGTGATATTTTGAGGTGAATAAAATTTTTTTTTAATCTCAACTCCTTGGTTGATCTTTAGGTACACCACTGACTGGCTATTACTACTGGTTTAATTTTTCATCAATATTATCAAAATCTGAACATTAGTTAATAGTAAGCATATTAGGTTTGATATTTTTTTTTTAATTCACTTATTTTCTCGTGATTTCAATCGTGGTATTACTTAAAATAAAAACCCAGCCGTAATAATAATTATTATCGTATAGTATATAAGTCGTAAAAAAACGAAATGAAAATAGAAAGAAAAGGAATTAGTCTTAATACGCATTCTATTCGAATCGTCTGATATAGTCATTGGATCGTGTTTATGCCGGTAGTGTTGAGGCGCCATGGTGCATAGAGCACGTTCCGATGGCAATAAAAAAGAGCAGCGAATAAATGAAAAATACCTATAAACCATCGGACTGGCGGAAATAATAATATTAAACTGTCTGCGGGCAGATCAACGCGTACAGTATATAATATGACCTACTTATCGGAGCGGAGATTGGATAAAATAATAATAAAAATAAAAAAAAAGTGTCGGAAACACTGTTTACGGGAACTAGGATTTTTTTTTTATCCACCCCTCTTATTCTTATTTTATGCTAATAAAATATATATTACCCCGTCCGTGCAAAATTGCTCCAGTAAATAACCGCAGCCTCGGAGAGCAGGACTTCTGACTTGGTGTAATTCCTCGGAAAATGCATCAATCCCCCTACTAGTGGGGCGCCGAATATGTACGGCAGTTCTTCACCGTGGATACATCCTTGTCTCTGAAACAAAACCAGATAAATTACCATCGTTTGTTGGCTTCGATTACAGTATAAAGTGACTTCGGACTTGGCTGATGTGGAGTACTTTTTTTTTATTTCTTTACCAAACATCGGTTAACAAAACGAACCAAAATTTAACCACTCAGATATCGAGTAGGTACTCCATTAACATATAATAATATTTTGACCCGGGTATACTTATTTATTTAATAATGTTACAGGCAACTGTCCAGCAATAAGAACGATATAACATTATAATATTATGTAGATAACAATGATAATTAAAATATTCAATAATAACATGGTTTCATAATTTAAAATATTATAAATAAAAAAGCATACTAACTGTGATGTTTTCGGCAAGGCCCAATAATGGCCGGATAAGTTGAGAATTGGGCATATAGTTCGAGGAATGTAGGCTGTTGGTGAATATGAAAAGAAGCTGTGTTTCTGGTTTGGGGTGTAGGAATTCCAAACTTAATTTGGGCTCATAAAGATGGGAAATCATATATGATCAGAAAGGAGTTTGGCAGAAATTCACAATTGGCCGTGACAGTAGATGGACCAAGCATCTGACTGATTGGAACATATAGTCACTGGGAGGTTGTGGGATATTAAGAATAAAGGAAGCATCAGGAAAAAACATTATCTTGAACACGTTCAATCATAAGAAGGTAAAAATAAGTATACGGGTCCCAAAGTACAGATCCATATCCGTATATAGGCCTAACAATGGAACAGCAGAGGGTTTTAAAAGTTTGAGATAAATTATTATAATAATAATAATAATATTACGACCTCGAGTAGTATTTTATTCCAATCCGATAAATTTTACGAGAATTATCTATTATTCAGATGAAATATTTACGCTGATAAGTCATTTAGTAATGATATTGTGCTGAATAAAGCACTTTTACATAATTTTAATTAAAATATGAAAATTCAAAACTAAATAATTTTGTTATAATAATAGGAACGTTCATAGGAGATATTATACTAAACATTTTAACAATATAGGTTATCTCAAATTTAAGACTATAGTAAAATATCAATATATACAAACGTGGTCAACTGTTCCGAGTAAAATTATTTACCAGGACGAACTTCCGGTGGTTGACACATAAATAATGTCAAAAGTACTAGTTCAATTTAATATAGCTGTATTATAATTTGTACAATAATAGGTACATGGTTATTTTTCTATTATCTCAACTAAATAATTTTTTTAGACACACAGGGCTCATTCATTATATAATATTATGCCTAACGTCGTGTATTGTTTATGGTTTACGTTTTAATTACATTTTTTTTTTTTTGTGCTACTGTTTCTGTTTTTGCGAGCACAAATAACGTTTTTGAGAATTATAATTTTTTACTTAGTCTTTAAATGGCATCATAATATTACTGTAAAAACAACCTGTAAATATAAAAGTAATATTTATTTGTTCCAGCATTCCACGGAGTATAACACAGCTTATTATTAATTCATCCACCAAATAATATACTTTTACAATAATAATATGATATATTATTATGTACGAATAACATTATACCCTCTCTTGGGAATTAATTTTCTTTCATTCTGTGTTTTGCATACCATGTTATTCCGCAATGTAGAAATGCGTTGTGTATTTTTTATAATTTATTTATTTTGTGGCTTAGTAAAAAAAAAAATGGCCATTCCAAAGGTACCCCATATGCAGTGATTTCGCGGTCCAGTAAAGCGACACCTCGGCCAAGACATTGCAGGAATTTGTTTGCACAAAAAATGAACACCATCAGTATAAATCCAATTAAATAGGGGGTTTTAAGTTTTAACAGATTGAAAACTATTACGTTTCGCAATATACGTAAATGTAGTCAAAGTGGTTATCTGAGTGTTGCGCGACGTAAACAATAATAATAATAATAATTTTGGATATTATTATTTTACTATGTACAACGGGGAAGGATGGTGGTAGCCTGCTCGTGGCCCTCCCTGCATATGCTATTATACACGCCAAAACCTAACAAGTAGAAGCAATCATAATAGCATAACAAATACCACCACATAGACACTGATACCCAGCTCATCAAGCACACAGAGTAACACACTATATTTGATACTGCCATACGAAATAAATAAATGAAACTATGTACAATATACTGCTTGTCTAATGTGGGTTAACTAGTTTAAATCGTAAAGGAACGCGAATAATTACATATTGTCCTGCCCGATCGCAAGCAAGCAAACCTTTGAGGAACACGTTCAGTGTATAAACTATAATATTATAACAACATCAGTATTCAGCAATCACATCAAAAGTTTTTTTGTGCAATTTGTGATAGTATGGCATTATAATAATAACTTAGGCACTAAACTAAAACAAGAAATTCTACTAAACACAATTTAAAATTTCATGTCCACGACATTATTATTATTGTTTCACTGAATACTAAGATCGTTCGTAAGTTACAGTTGCCTTTCAGTAAAGCCTTAGGAGCTCCTCGGCTTATTACAAACGAATCATCTCCAACTACCTCCAATTACTCACAGTATTACAGATTACTACACAACTCCTCGCCAAGACTCACTACAAAATATTCCACGCTATACTGTCAAACCACCCAAACCCCCTCATAAAAAACATGTCAACCATTTTCGGAAATATTCAACGTCGTCTCAAGCGCAACTGCCTCGGAAATTTACTCTGAATTTTAATCAAAAATGAGTATGAAACAAAAACAAAAAAAAATTAAATTAAATTCTGAGGTGCCATTATATGGAACAGCTTCCTTCACAAATTATTCATGTGCAACTTTTATTATTTACCTTGTACCAAATTGACCTATTGTTTTAGTTTACAGATTGGTAAATATCTTTATAAATAATAGATAATAATAAAAAAAAAAAAAAAAACTGTTACAATAATTTAAACGTTCAATGGAATAATGTAAACTATTTATCAATAAGGTACTCATCGTTGGGTGGTTAAAATTAATTTTCATTTTATAACCTAAAGCTATGTAAATTAATAGAGCACAAAACCAATTGTCAAACATAGACGTTATCGTTTCCGGCCAAGGAAGCCCGTTGCCCGTTACTATAGTAATTTTGACCGAAATTGGATCTCTTGAATTTTTCTAGTCGAGCGTATATCATTTAATAAAATCAGCTCTTTCAATTTTTGTATTTTTTTTTCTCCATATCAGTATCCATTGTTACCTATAATGGGTCTTTCATTCAAACTCTTTTGATTCCAGCACGTTAAATCAATACTCCTTTCGTCAGTGATTGATCAGCTCTACGTCTTTATTATTATGTTTTATTTGCTTTGAGACTGGCCGTTTCATCCGGGTAACGCGATTGTGATATTATGACTGAAATGTATGTTTTGAATTCTCTCAGTATATTCGTGTATTATCAGGTATTTTACAGCGTTTCTAACGTTTCCACTACAACGCGGACGTCTTCTGGTTGAAAAAAAAAACAAAATTATAATATTATCAGGGAGGTATAATATACCAATAGGTAGCTATTTGGTAATGGCTTGTTTGAGCGAGGCTGGGCTGTGCAAGTTTACGATTTTTTTTTTAAGTTTGTATTATAGAAAAAACTCGGAGTTAAAAGTTACGTAAAATATATATTTTAATTTCGTTATGTTAAAAAAATTCACTTAACCAAACTAAAAGTTTTAGATTTTCTAATTGACATCCAAAATAATATACATGAATAGAAAGATGAATTTCGATCATTTTCTCATCTCAGAGCCATATGCCCCATATAGAAGTGTGGTTGTGGGGGAGGAAAGTTGACTCTTTGAGTAACTTTTCTGCCCTTTCGTTAAAGATGGGAATCTAGATATGCACTGACCCGTTATTTCTGTACTACATAAAATTGTGTTAGCTTTTTGTTTTTTGGTGTTTGAAATAATAATATATATAGGTACGGGAAACATGTTTAAAGAAATTAACAAAATAATAATAATAGTTCACGAAAATAACGTCCATACTCGAATAAACAACAACTAACGATTATAATATAGTAAACGTCGTTAATCCAATTATAATCAATTAAATAAGCAATAAAAGTCGTGATATATAAGTTAAATTATCATAATAAAAAAATTATTTTTGATCAACTCGAAATATTTAAAACAATATCAACTTACAGGCTTTATATTTTTAGTTTATTTTTATTCAATTAAAAAAAATCAAAAACGTAATTTGTTTTAAATCTTAAGAAATAGGTATGTAACGAACCTGTGTGTGTCTTTATTGAAAAATTATACTAACTAGTATAATTTAATCAGAATTTCTTGAAAGTAATTATTTATGACTAATCAGATTTTATCCATCTCATTCAATTAAACATTTTTATTTACAATAAGACCCTAGCCATAATAATTACTATTGATTAAAATTATAAAAGCCTCTCTTAGGATTCGTGATCCAGACCGTTTCGCAAATAATCGTGATTGATTAAATATTTCTCTTTAATAGTCACGTACTATGAGTTTTAAAGCATGTTAGAGTGTATACCAATTTAATAGTTGAATAATGTCCGTGGTTATAGCCATTAGGTTTTACTTTAGAGAAATATTACTCAACACACATGTTTAGGTATTTCTGATAAAACATAAATATGGCTTTTTTTTTTAAACTATTTTTACTTAAAATTGATAAACTAATGATGGTGGAAATGATATTATTTTATTAGTGTAGATTATAGTAGTTATATGAAAAAAATAATGTTTAAAAGCTGTTCGGAAATATTGACCATCCATAGGTACTACACTACTACACGAAAAATGTTATCACTTTATTTATCTTGTTTTTATTAGCTTTTCAATGAATGTTTCATTCACATATTATTGTTTGCTTTACTTATATTATTTTCCCAGACCCAAATATGGGTTGTACGAAATGTGTTCAAATTATTATTATTATTATTATTATTTATTTTTGTATACCTTTATATAGCATTATCGTAATGTTTATCAGTCCAATGAGTCGGTCCGTCGGTCCAGCCTTAATTTTAACTTTGCATAAGGTATTTTTCCTACTCGCTATACAAACACAATATAAATATACGGTTATGTAAGGTTACATCTCTTCAAATATGCATTGAT